ACAGAAACACCGGACAGAGAATTTTCACGCCACTTTACAACCTTCCTTTCACCGCAATATCGGACTCACCTACCTGGGAGGACGGGTGCAGTTGACTTCTAATTATAAGAAAAAAACCAACCACGAAACAAATTCATTGGCTCTATAGCTTCCCCCCTGAATCCTTCGACAGGCGTCAGTTCAGACACCCGCGGGGTGGAGAGGGGGGGACAGAGAGGACGGACAACGGGAAGCAGGGCTTGCTAACTCTTAAAAACACAGTTCACACGCAAATGTACACTCACAGAACCGTCCATTCTACTGTCCGGTAAAAGGCTGTCCGCGCGGCGAAGGCGGGAAAGGCTTCAAGCGCAAAAATGAAATGAAACGCCATGGCCTCGTCCACGACTCGCCGGGTTATGTATGCCCATTCTGCCCAGATCAGCAACACACCTATCCGCGCCCGGATAATTTACAGAGGTAAACCTAACTTATCTCCAAACCCTTGTACATCCTGAGAGCAGAAAGAGTAAATAAAAGGAAAGTAAGGAAACAATGCGCTAATTTGATCACTCACAGACATGTCCGGGTACACCATGTAGACAAAGACCGCGAAGACCCCGAACTAAGACGAGTCCTTGCTCAGCGACCGGAAGGCGGCATGCGGGGCAGACGACGCCGCAACGGAGTTCAGTAGCATTTCTCGAGCAATTTTTGCTCGTGCTTTGACCATATGTTCATTCTCGTTACGATTCTTTAACCGTATCTATGACGACTCTTATTACACGTGTTATCCCCAAAATCTTTATTCATTTCCCTTCATTGCTGATTCGACTCTTGTCATGACGGAAATCTCTCAGCTATCCCACATATCCTTACTTTTACTCTTTTCTTTTTCTTCCAACCCAAGTTCTCTCTCAATAAGCATGCATTTATCATTCATTTTTTATCCCCCACTTTTCCTCCTGGTGCAAGTATCGTGCATACAAAAATTCATTTGCTCCTTCTTTCTTTCTTCTCTTTCGTTCGTGTTATATATTTTTTATATTCTATTCTTCTTTTTATGCCCTTTTTATATTTTACATTCGCTGTTCATAATTTTATTTTTACACATATGAGGGCGAAAGAGGGGCGCAAAACGGCGTATATTGTTGTTAACTTCTTTTATTTCTCTTTTTTTGTTGTTGGCATCTTGATCCTTTTTTTTCTCCTATTTTTCTTGTTTTTATTTTATTTCCCCCTTTCGCGGCACATAAGTTACGTCCGTTTATATACTTAACATTTTATACTGTTTATTTTACCCTACTCTTGCGTTCCGGCCACCGACGAAACCCTTTATCAACGCCGCGAACGACTCTTTCAATTCTATTTCCGCTACACAAGAAACGATCACCCCGGACAGACCAGAGCAGATGATGGCTTAGTGGAACTTGCTTTGACCTTTGATTTTGCCATGACTTGATTCCCCCTCTTGCTGATTTTTATCATTCTTCGTTCCTTCGTTTTGGCGCCTCGGGGCATATCTTGCTCTGCTTTCACGCTTTGCATTTCTTTACATTCCTGTCCTTGTTGCGTGTTTGACCCTTGTTATTCGTTTATATATTTGTCTTCGATTTTTCTTTCCTTTTCTTTTTAGTTCACTTCTATTATTATTATATATTATACGTACATATATATATATATATACATATATTATCTAGATATTGCGTTAATACTCCCCCCCCAAGAAAAGTTTCATGCTGTGAATTTCCTTGCTGGGTTTTATGTGGTTTTCAATTTTTTAGGGTAAGAGGGCTAATGAAGAGATGAAAATGACGATAAGGATGAGGAATGGGGAGAAATATAAGTATGACTCAACTAAATAGCTCTTCGGGCTATTGTACCTGTATGTTAGTTAAGGTTTATGTTCATTCATGCCATTATCTAAAGTACCACGGATGTCTATATTTCATATATAAACCAGGACATTATCCTGCTATCGTCAGCTGTCGGCGGTAAAAGTAACGCTTGGGATAGACCGAAAAAGAAAAAAGAAAAAGAAAAAAAAGGAACATTGTAGCGTAAAATGAAGTTGCGTAGCCCTCTAGTGTCGCATGTGAGTTAGTTATAAATCGTGAGATGACGTAAATTGCGCTTTGATCATGCTGAGACGAGAAACAAGATAACCCTGGGTAAATAGGTATCCTGGAACTGAAATTATGCATTACCATCACGGCAGTGCAACCGTGAGCCTCGACCTGCCGCCATCCCCACGGCCCCGATCACCCAACAAGGGCGCGAACTCACCCTCCCCAGCCTCACCTCCATCCCCTCCGCAGCTGGCGTTGTTTACCACCCGTTTCCCCCGATAAAGGACATAATGCTGCAGCATAAAAATGATATCGAAGAAGATACTAACATTGCCCAGCAGCAGCTTGATGGGGTTACCTGTAATGCCGCTCCAGTCGTCCTGGAGGGCGGAGTCGATAAGTAGCTGCAGGACGGAGAGGATGCCGCCGGAGAAGTCGAGCAGGATGGCCGAGATGCTCCAGCCGACGGTTGATTTGCGTTTGTAGTTCACCCATGCCTGTGGGATGTATTTTATGATTGTTACGATGAGTTTTACGTAGGAGAGGGCGTAGGTCTTTTGTTAAAATGATTGTTTTCATTGGTTAGTTTATTTTCCATTCTGGTGGGCTTACTGAACTGGTTATATCAATCGTAAGGATGGGAAATGGGGTAAATGATAACTAAAAGGGGGGGGGAAATATACAAGAAAGGAGACAGGAGAACGTACCACGTCAATCCACGCCCAGTCCGCGGGATCAAGACTAGCCCCCGTCCCCCGCGCCGCAACAAAGACAATCAATAGCGTAACAGCAACGATAGACCCCCAAAACACTCCCGCAATAGGCCTACTTATCCGCTGGAACTTGGATACCTTAAACCCCCAAATACTCGGCCAGAACTGGCTGAAGACCAGCGAGCTGAGGATGACGGCATGGACAGCAAAAGCGAGGTCATTGAAGCGCACGCTGGGCTCTGGGGAGATGGGGTGGCGGGCGGCGTATTGTTGGCGGATTAATGGGGAGTAGAGGAAGGAGAAGGCGTAGATCATGTAGCAGATGAAGCCGAGGGTGTTTACGGTCGGGAAGTCGATGGCGAGGCCTTGGGTGGACCGTCGGCGGTAGTTTAAGATTGGTTGTGGGTAGAAGGAGGCGGACCAGCAGAAGGTACTTGAGAGGAGGGGATGTGTGTTAGCTATGTATGGTTTACTGCTTGCTGGTTGGGTTTTAAAAGTGGCTTTGTTTCAGGGAGTGATGCTGGCCAGCTGCACGCGGTGGGGATCCGGATGGAAGACATACTAGATCCAACCAAGGAGGCTGTCGTGTGATGGATGGGCATCATATCAGCATAGTTCTTCATTCTCTCTCCTTTTTACTTCCGCTAGTTACAGGATTTTATGGAGGATATAGTTACCGTGATAGCGCCCTGATGAATATTTCGCCTTGAGGGCCCATGGCGCCTAATTTGCAGCTCTGTGACGGAAGAGGGACGGAGATTGAGGCCGAGAGGGTTTAGTCCTTCATACACGACCTTCGCATGGTGGGAGCAAAGAGATTGTGCTCTATTGAATAATGCGCAGCAGAGGGCTGCTACATGGCGAAAGGTGCTTATATAGGTAACAAGTGTTCCACGGAATGACGGTGCCTGGTCAGGGCCGTCTGTAGAGATTTGAAGTCAAGGTTCACGTCCCTTGTTAGTTGATGTTGGATGTTGCAGCAGATTCCATGGATAAAGTCATGGAGTTTGCCCAGTTTGCACGAGGGCTGGAACAGGGCTTGGGCTGTAGTTAAATGACAATGCAAAACGAAATAGACAAGAAAATACGATATGGTACAAGGATTCATACAGAGATAATGAGCTCTCTGTGTCCTATTTGATGTTCAAAATAAATTAAGTAAATTATTCTGCCCATAGATAGATATTTTATTGTATCAAGATACTATACTCCCCAAAGACCACCCTACGAACCTGCTGACTCAGCAAGCCAATCTGCCCGGTTATTTTACCGTAATTACGGCGATCTTTACCGTAGCTCGGTACCGTTGTCCTGGTTATGAGCTGGCCGCGCTAAGCCGGAAACAGCAGTCCGTTTGGGTTCCAGGTTTCCCTGAGGCTGGTTTTAATGCAATCTCTATCCTCACTTGTCATAACAACTTCTACATATAACATACATACATGCAGTGTCCCTAATCCCTTGCTCTTATACCGTGGCGACTATTCACTATTCAAAACATCCGCATCCTTTTGATCCTCTCACTGACGGAGGCGGAGAGTTCAACCACCTATCTATACAATTCACACTTTGATTTGCGCTGCGATTGGGCATTTCCCTCGTTTAGAGCTCACCGCTATCTGCCCAGATTTGCCGCTACATCAGTTCCTGCGAAGTATCGACCGTCATACTCCTTGGGTTGGCTTATGGTGCATTCCTCGGGGCGAGGGATCTTGTAAAGATCTCCTCTGCGGGCCCCGGCGGCGTTGGGACCACGAAGAAAATAGAAAGAGCTGAGGATAGGTGGAACGGCAGCTGCAAAGCAGGGGACAAAAGGGACGACCATCGCAAATTTATTTAATCTTATCCCTTGGATCGCTCAGTTGAGAACCAGAATATGTCTCCTTCTCCACAACTGGCCCCGCCGGGGTCCAGCACCTACTCGTCAAACACTCTGAACGTCGGGGATGGAACATGGGATTCGCAGCGGAATACCTTCCTTCTGCCGAATTTGATGGGCTTGAATTTCGAAACGATGCGATATAATGGTTGGTTTTAGCTTTGTCTTTTAAATATATACTGAAAGCAAAAAGTAAAGAAGAACGAGGAAGAGAAGAGAACTGATCATTAAAATAGGTATGGGGAACAGATTTCGTGAAATGGCCGGCTACCATTCCTTAATTCGAGCCCACGGCGTTATAGCTGCCATCACGTTCCTAGGCCTCATTCCGACTGCCATATTAATGGCTCGTTTCTATTCTCCATCCCCGTTTTGGGCGTTAAGATACCACATATGGCTCCACGTTCTCTCCCTGTTTTTATCGACTGTTGTTTTCGTTTTAGGATGGTTTGCTGTCGGACCTAACAGGAGTTTAACAAATCCCCATCATGGGATTGGGTTGGCGATATATGTTATGATCATTTTTCAGACCTTTTGGGGCTGGTTTGTACATAAGCGCACAAAGGGCAAACGGTTGTTCCATATGCCTTTGAAGGTTATGGTAAGTCAAGCTCCAAAACTTAGCATATAGCCTTGACTACTTGCACGTCTATATATATCAATGGATTCGCTGACTTGGACTAGTTCCATAAATGGCTGGGTCGAGCGCTGGCACTCCTCGGAATTGCCCAAATACCCCTTGGGCTTGCTCTTTATGGTTCGCCATTGGCTCTATTCATCCTCTATGCTCTCGCAGTTTTTACCCTGGTCCTCATTTATTTCATCCTCACCTACCTCCATGAACGCCGTATAGGTGCGGACTATGACAGCCGTGGTAGCTATATGTCAGGCCCTGAAATCGTTGAAGATGGTCACAGTCACAGCAACGCCGGCCGTCTCGCAACTGCCGGAGCTCTTGGGCTAGGTCTTGGAGTGCTTGGAAATCGCATGAGGAATCGGTCACGAAGCAGAACTTCCATAGACGAATCAGATATGACCCCTCGACCGCATCGTGATGACGAAAAAAGCGATCACCACCATGGCGGGGGTGGGTGGAGGAAACGCATCCTCCAAATAGGTGCCCTTGCGGGTGCTGCGGGTCTGGCGAAAAAATACTTTGATAAGCGCCGTGACCGGGAGAGTGATACTGAGTCAGGAAGATATGAACCAGCACATGGACATGGACATGGGCACCATGACAGTCTCTATGACGATTCATTGGCTCATACCGAGGAAGGGAGGCCACGACCTAGCCATCCACGAGCATACGATGGGCCTCCTAGCCGCCCACCAAGCATAGGATATACTGACAGCGGGTATTTCGAAGAGAGCGAACGAGGCCACGGGGTCCGTAACGCTCTTTTTGGCGCAGGTGCATTTGCCGCGCTGAGAGGAATTTTCAAAAGTCGCGAGAGAAAAGAGCAAGAGCGAGTTGAAGAGCTTCGACGGCAGGATATCGAAAATGAGCGAAGAGCGAGACAGAGCGCAAATCAACGGAGATACACAGGCGATGGCCAACCTCCGCCGTCGCGTAGAACCCCAGGGCGGAGATACTCATTCAGCACGGAAATGACAGAGAGTACAGACCCCCACGTGGCGCCCCCTCCAAGTGATATCCCTCCTGTACCTCCCGTCCATCGTCATCATCATCATAATCGTACCGTCTCTGGATCAGACACTGTAACATCAATTGGCGGCGCTGGTGGTGATGGTAAAAAGCCCCAAAGATCATCAGCAGGATCAGCAGCGACTGCGACAGCAGCAAACTCCAGCCGCCGACGCCGGGGTCGTGACCAATCCGTCGACTCCGAGCCCGTTTCCATCAACGTAAAATTTCACAATGACAAAGGCCGCCGCGTCACGCTCCGCCGCCTAACACCAGAGGAAGCAGCTGCGTCACGTAGAGCAAAGAGGAAGGATCCTCGCCGCTCTAGTCGCCGGCATGGGAGTGTCAGCTCCCTATCAGGCCATGAGGGAGCGGATGATCACTGGCGCCGCGTCGAAGAGCGGGAACGCATGCAGCAGGAGGATATGGATGCTGCTGCTGCTGCCGCTGGTGGCGGTGCTTCCACTGCCGCGCCAGCATCGACTATAGGCCCACCAACACCGACGCCAATCCGGAACTACACCGGTGTCCCACCACCTGGTGGTAGTAGTTACTCTGGCCCATTACCGCCTCCCCCGCCTATACCTGGTGTTACTCCTTCAAGTTACCTCACCTCTCCCCCTCCTGGTAGTACGGATTTGAGCAGTCATGCCAGTAAGAGAGAGCGGAGGAGAGCGGAAAGGAGGACGATGTCGAGACAGGGGAGGCATAATGTGGAGTTTACTTGAGAAGGTTTATTCATCCGTTTGTTTATTCTGCGCAAACCCGCCCCCTACCAACTTTTTTCCCTTTCTGAGATGTTATCTTTTGACTTTTTATTCTGAGAGCTTTCTCTATGTTTGTGATGTTTTCTACGCTTTTGATGCCTTTTGACGCCCCCTTTCTTTTTTACGTATTATGGATCTGGATGACTGACTTCCAATGTAACTGTACAAATTCCCCCTTGCTTTTATTCCTTCTACCGGCCTTTCTTCTTCCGTATTTAGTCTTGTTATTTCTATTCTGTGCCACTATTGGTAGGTATATATTTGCGTTCATGTTCCAAATATACAGAGATGCGATTACATACCCCATCAAAGCTAGATATCCAAACACACCAAGTTTGGCTCGGCATTCTTGTTCATCATTACATTTTCGTACACTGTATTGCGAATATCTTCGCCCTCTTTGTCCTCTGTTCTTCCAAGTTGGCAACCCCCCACTGCTCTCAAAAACTCCTTTGCGCAGGATCCATGACACTACTTTAGAGAATCAATCTCAGCATCTATATTCACATTTTCCTTTCTGCGTCTCTCGTATTTAAATATCTTTTCTGTTTATGTGCTTTGTATTATTACTCAACTTTTCTTTTCATTACTCAATTGTTATTCAGTTTTCGAGAGGATATGTTGCATCTAAAAGAATGTATATGCGTTTGAGATTAAAATGAGCGGAAAATTTGCGTAGATATAAATGGCTGAACAAGAATGTAGTGGAAGTGATGCTTTTTCATACTAGATTACTAAAATTCGTGCGGAAGATGAAACACAAGAAGTTTTTATGTAACTTGTTCTGTTGACTGAGTTACAGAGAAGAGGGCAAAAAAAAGGGTTCCGCTAGAAAGATTGCTAGGAGTGATATAGAGAGATCAAAGGATAGAGATATAAAGCGCTTTTTAAAACTGAAAGTTTAGTCATTGAACAGAAGACATGTAAGTAGATAGTGGTTGCTGGATTTTTTAATTCTACATTGCTCAACGCTTTATAATGGAAAAAAAAGGGGGAAAAATTCCAGGCGTGGTTAGTTTGACAAGGGATAGGGTGGTGGGAAATGTTATTTTATGTACAGAAAGCGGATCTATTTGAGCGCAGCTTCCAGGCTCTCCAGCACCTGTATTCAATCAAATAATCACGTTAGCTGTGTGGCTTCTCTCCGAGGTTGCAGCAGATATGGGGATTATTATTCAAGTGGGGTTTGCTTTCCGTACCTCCAACTCGATCTTTGCCTCAGCGATATCTTGTTCGCTGCCGCTGCCGTTGGCAATTTTTTGTGCCTCGGCAATCTGCGCTTTCACGGCCTGGTTTTTTGGTATCGATTTTAAATCAGCTTCCTTTGCGCTGGATTCATGCGTGGATGTCTGCAGACGAGCTGTTCTTTAGGGGTGGGGTGTTTTTCTCCTCACCTCTGCACTGAATTGGTCCAGGGGGAATCCCTCGACGGCGTTGATGCTCAGCTGGGAGTCGGGCTGGACGATAGCGAAGCCGCCGGACACTGTATGCCGAAAACAAATAGGTAAAATATTAGAATCGTCATTGCGAACATGCATAATTTCTCCCTTCTCCTTTTACGTTTCAAAAAGTAATTGTTCAAAAACGTTCATTAGACGTACGGAAGAATTGCTTGGTTCCTCCCGACTCCTCGATGATCTCGACGAGACCGGGTTTCAATTGTTCGATGGATGGGACGTGGTTGGCAAGAACACCCATGACACCAGATTCGGCCGGGATGTTAACCTGGACGCTGTTGTTTCGACAAATCGTATGGTTAGTTTTATTCTGATTTATATACGTAGGACGTTTTTGGTTTGATTTTGGCATTGACTCCGGCGTTCCAGTGGGGAAAACGAGTAGTGAGGAAGAAATGGAAATAGCGGGGGATGTAAAACATACACATCCGTCGACTTGTAGATGCTCTGTACATCAAATAATATTAGCAGAATGTCACCAATGACGAACCATAATGTATCCAATTGGGCTCTGGCATCGCGAATGGAGGAAGAAGACATACCTCATGCGGGAGAACAAGGGAAAGTTTTATTTTATCTGCCACGGCATCGGCATAGCCTCTCCGCTGGAGCGGAGCTCTGAATGCAGAGGGGCTTGCTCTGAGAGCAGCCCGTGCGAATCGGAAAGAGTTCATTGTGCAATTGGAGGAAGGAGAGGAATGTGAGATGGAGAGGCGTGTCTTGCACAGAGCAGAAGTTGAGGTCGTTGGAAAGCTGGGGCTGGTAGTTCGGGATAGATGGACGAATGCGGCTAGGCTGACACGTGATTTGTAGAAAGAGCAGACTCCGTTCGCCTAGATGCTTGCACGATGCAAATAATTCTAAAATCAAAGATCGTGGTCTATGGTCTTAGATGTCGATGTTACAGATATATTGGATACTTCTTTTGAGTCCGGGCAGATCGGGATCCACCCCGGGGCGTTTATACAAAGTCTTGGTGAGCACAAAGAGTGCCTCTCAAAATGTTAGGATTGCAGGTGATTTTATGTTACAACACTCAGGAGACAGTAAATAGTAATCCTTATACTTGGTTTCTTTACATATCCGTATCATTTCTAGGTGCAAAATGCAAGCATTGATTATTGAATTTTATCATACATTTTGTTGCTGTCATTGTTGGCGGATGCTGAGAGAGCCCACGTGACTAAGCGAGAACCATTCCCACACAAACTAATCTCCCGCCCTAAGCGAGCGCATCTTCAGCATTTGGCAGTCCAACCTCCGTCAACACAGCTACGACTCCAACAGCGCTTCTGTTGCGACAATCCCGTCAAAATGGCCAGTATGTATCATCCGTGTCTCTACCTCTGTCAGATTTGTCACCATTATTTGCATGCTGAGCCTTGCGTACTGACAACTTCGCTCCGTAACAGAGTCCAAGAACAGCTCGCAGAAAACGGTGAACAAGAAAGCCCACCGGAACGGGTACGTGAACATTTTGTTTCCCGCTTCATATATGTTGCATTCGATATTCCTCTGGAATATTGTGACAGCTCGAGCTACAAGTTGCCTGCAGATGATCTCTACTTTGGTACATCGCGAAGGGACAAAATGCTGATTTCTGGACCTTTCTTCTTAACAGGATCAAAAAGCCAAAGACCCACCGCTATCCTTCCCTCAGGGGCACAGATCCTAAGTTCCGACGGAACCACAGACATGCTCTGCATGGTACCATGAAGGCGCTGGTACGTGTTTGATTTCATGACACTTCACATCCACATGAAGGACATGTATTTCCCTGACCCAGTTCAAAATCATCAACTGACACACTATTACAGAAGGAGATGAGGGAGGGCAAGAGAGAATCCGCATAAACGACTTCTTTTTGTTTTCTGTTTCCCGGGTCACGGTCCAGTTTTATACTTCCATGTGTTATGTCGATAGATCTTTAGCCTGGCTTCGAAAATCGGAGAACCCTGAAAATGCTTTAAGCCTTTCTGCGGAAATTTCCTTCTTCTAGCTTCATTCCACGTCTGTCCAAAAAGCTGATAACTATGTGAGTTCGGGAGTATGTGTCGTGCTCCATGCCTTAGATCAGCGGTGGCAGGTGGAATGACACTATTCTCCCCAATTCGAAGGCAGCTTGGTTCGCTCACAATGCCAAGGAACTGAACCTTGTACCCTGGTCTCTAAATACCATTCCTTTTCTCCGGCTACTTTCACAAATCTGTCGACGGTTTTCGGTTCATTGCGGCTGTCAGCGGTTCTCGCGACCGGTAAGCGCGTTTCCTCTGAATGGTCCCTTTCCTCTAGTGGGACAAAACAGGCATATGTGTGTACAGCAGTGGATCTTTTCTCCATGCCCAATTGCTGAAGGATTATTATCTTTTCGTGCCGATATCGAATTCCCCTGCCGTCTAATTACCAAACACCTTTTTCCTTGCTCCCCATGGTGCGGAGGTGCATGGACAGATGTGCTACATACTACGTATATATTATATTATCCATAATGTTTTGCAATTGGATTATTACTTCTTTTATATGTTTACTTTTTTTAAAACACTGATTTCATCGGTTTCCATCTCCACTTTTAATCTACACACATATCAACGATACCTGCGCTCTGGTAGTGTCCAATATATTAATGGCAAACTCGGGCTATTCTCTTGAGCCAAAGTAGTCTTACCCGAGCAGCATTATGCACAAAGTTTTTCAGGTTTGGATTCATTATCTACGCTCTGGCGTCCACATAATCAACTTCTTATCAAATCCACCACTAACCAGCCGTTCTTCATTCTCTCCGTCATTCAAGCGAACCCAACCTGCCCAGATACTCCTGACCTTGGTATAAGGTTCATGTCCTCCTGTCAAAGACACGACCAGCTTCCCCGTCCTAGCGTCTATACCCCTAATCACCCCATCCTCTCCATTAACCCAAACCCCAGACCCGTCGGGCCTCCAAACAACCTGCGGGGTAGAATATGCTGTTTGTGGCGCCATCGTGTTCACTTGAGCAAGGATGGCAGCGTCCTCTCGATTATGGATGCCAAGATCTGCCATCGCGCGTAATGCCTGTGTCACCCGCTGGCCGGAGCTTTGCCTACGTTCAGGCGGTGTAGATGGTGATGCCGATGGCATGAGAATCCGCACAAATATGAGTTTCATATACGGCTGGCTTGAGGTCGCGACAGCAAGAAGGGTTGGGTCTCGCGGACTAAGAGCAAAACATGCGGGGGAGAACGCAACCCATGCATTCGAGTGTGGTGATAGATCCTGCTTTCCAAGAAGTGGGCATTCGTGCGGTTGATTGTTGATCGTTCTATGCCCTCTTTCGAGCCTGTTAAGGGGCGATTCGACGAGGTAATAGTATAGGTATGTTGAATCAGCTACAGAGGCCAGAAGGACTAGGTCCCCCGTACCCTGGCTGCGCATGAAGAGAATGCACTCCGGTACCGTGGCCGTTTTGATAACCGCTAGCGGTTCACCGATTGTGAGCTGCGCACCTACATCTGGGATTGTGATGCGGTAGATATATATTCTCGAATCCCACCCCGCCGTCGCTAGCCACGTGGTTTGGAATATCGGCTGCTCTTCCTGGAACGCCACCACCGCTACGGCACATTTGGTATGATCTTTTCTGGATGCTATAATTTTCTGTCCTTGGAATAGCAATAGTTGCCCGGACATCGTTGTCGTGGCTCGGTATGCGCCATCGTAGAGACAGGTGCCAGAAAGAAGAGGGGAATCTACTAGGTCTTTGAATGTAGATATGACAGAGTAGGGGGCGTCAACTTCATAGAGACTCACGCGCTTGTCCGCCCCCGAAGCAATGATCACTGACGATTCTTCCGGATGGCCATCTTCTGATGATTTTATATAGGGTTGAACAGTGACGGTGACTAGGTTCGACTTGCTTGGAGTCTCAATGATGTTTGGTGTCGATGGTGCTAGGGTCTGGTTTAGTACATGATTTACTGACATAAGTAGATGAGTGCCTCTTCTACTCTAGGGATGAAGCTTGGGATCGTCGAGTCGTTATAAGGATAACAAACTGACCTGCCGTCCAGCAGTAACATATATCAAGGCGCGACAGAGTGCAAACCGAGAATATAAAGCACATTTAGCCGGAAAGATCTGGGTATTAAGAAAATTTCGAGGATATATAAAATATTCCTTAAAGTCGAAATTTGTAAAAAAAAAAAAAAAAAAAAAAAAAAAAAAAAAAAAAAAAAAAAAGAGAGAGAGAGAGAGAGAGAAGAGAAAAAGAAAAACTCACCAGGAATGCTCCACCCATCCTGCCCTTCTTCATGGGCAGTTCTTTCAAATTCTAGGGATTTATCAAAAACCATCTTTTCCTCCAGAATTTTCTCAATAGTCCAATCCTCACTCCTTGGCTCCAAAGCCGAGAGACCTAAGTCGGGCGGCAGGCCCGTTTCTTCGAGAAATGCTGCTAGTGTTTGCTCGTAATTGTTGGACCTGAGGAACCGAGCTACGAGGACGCATGGTGATAAAGAGGGCGGACGGGGAGATGGAGATGAGGACATTGGAGAGTCCCTTTTGAAATTTCTTGCAGTGCTCTCTGTATTTTACAGTATTTGCATCTTCCCGTTTTAACTTTGGCTTGTTTCCTAGAGATGATCAGTCTGGGGAGGCTTGGGAGGCAAAAAAGCCGTACCATGACAAGGATGAAGCGGAACATGGCGAAATAGTTGTATATTTATTTATACCGTATTCTCGGCAGCTAGGCGCTTGATGAGTCTGGTAAATGCCAGATTCATCTTCCACCACTGGCTTAGAAGTCCACCACGTAATTATAGTATTGAAAATTGCTTGAAAATTGCGTATGATTCCGACAAGAGTCTTTGATTCTGGGAATGGAGGTTCACGCTTGGAAGTTGGAAGCACCCCGTGCTGCCTTTGTTAAAAACTATTGTATCTACTAAATGGCGTCACAACCCACTGTCCATACTGGAGAACTGAGAGATTTATTGCCAAAATACAAATAAAAAAATTAATAATATACCCTCTCTATTAAAAAATTCATGTCAGATTGACCCAGAAGGAATATGATAGTTAACTACCCAAAGCGAAAGGAAGAGAAAGGAACAAAACTAATAAAAAATATATTTATCTGTCCAAACATCTGACCTATCATCAAATCATCGCGAGCAAACGGAGGAAATAAAGAGCAAAAACGTCAATTCCCTTAGGAGAACATATCCTCCGCTTTCCTACGCTTGCCCCCCCGGCCTTGAAGCTTGTCAGAAAACAGCTCCTTCCCCTCATTGCTGTTATACTTGGAAGGAAATAGTTCTCTAACGGAGGCAGCACCTTTGATAGATATTCCTTGGGCAGCACCGCGTATAGAGATCCCCTGGTCCTCCGAGGCAGCACCATGAATGCTCATACCATTGTTGTCACTTTTATCTGGAAATAATTCAACCGGACCTGTTGATCTGCCGGATGCCTCGCCACCACTGGCGCCATCCATCAATGGAACAGGCATGTGTTTAGAAAATAGATCTGCGGTTTCGTCCGCAGCATCGAACGCATCCGAACGGCGATGGTTGCTCGAGGTGGATTTTTTGGGGAAAAGCTCCCTTTTGAGGTAGCTGGATGTTGTTTTATTCGGGAATAGCTCAGGACGCCCAGAGCCGTCATCGATAGTAGCGTATTCGTTAGCCCGCGACATTAGATCTCTGCTTCGGCTGTTTCTTGGAGAGCGGTTTCTGAATGATTTACGGGTCCGTTCCCGGCTATCTAGCGTTGAGTCTTGGTCGAATTCCATTCTAAGCGGAGAAGCGCTACGATCCCGAAGTCGCCCTGACGAGCCAGGGCCGTCATCAGGAAAAAGTTCAATCGTATCTCGCCTATCACGTCTCGATCTATCTCTACCTCTATCTCCATTCAACCTGCCTTCATTTGAGCCGCTCCTCTCTCTACTCCGGCCCCCGTCATCATCGTACATACTCTCGCTGAGATTTTCTTCGTTGGCACGACCCCGTCTTCGTCTATGTTCCCTGTCATCGAATCGTCTTCTGGTGTAATCACTCTCACTATCGTCCCGCCGACCGCTACGCCGTCTGTCGGCAAACTCTCTCCTCATTCGTTCGCGGGGATCATGCTCTGGATGCATAAGATAAAAACGACTAGACTCGTGGGCTCGTTGCCTTTTTCGATCTGTCTTCACCGCTGTTCGTACTTGCAAAACCGACTCTGGGTGTGTAGATAGGGATTTCGCCGTCCGTAGTCGCAATGAATGTAATGGCGACGGGTCCTCCTCGGGATTTTGTTGTGAAAATGTAGCCAGCGCTTGTAGCCCGATGTCGGTACAGCTGTACACCAGATTTGCAGACGTGTCGTCGATCCATTCTATCCGGGTGAGTTCTTCTGTCACGAAATGCTCACTTGAGTACCGCTTTAGATCCTCTGTGGTAAGTTCATCAACTCCCCGGATGTGAACCTTTTCAAACTGAGGCTCCTCGTTGAGGTGAGAGCTTGCCACTGCTTCTTCTGCCGTAACTGATGGAACTTGCGCCTGCTATACAGATAGCTATTAGAAAGATACAGTGATAGTAGAGCAGTGTGAATTATACTAACAATTCCAACATGTTCTGGTTCTGGTTCTGGTAAAGGACCTAGATCAAGGTCCATGTCGATATCCATGGAGGAATCTATCATGCTGGGATTGAGATTTGTGCCATTGGTAGGCTGCGGGTGAAGGGAAGAAGCCACCTCCATATTGACAAAGCACAAAAGTTCTTAAACCAAGTTGTAATATGGTTGTGTGCGATGCTGTGATGATACTAGTTTTAAGAATTGCCAAAGGGCAATTGATGAAAGGCGTCCACTTATGTATGTTGGTGTTTAATATCGCGGCTGACAATGAAGCCTTTTTGTCGTCACACGGGGGTGAGCTCAAGCGTTCCAAAAACAGACTAGCGCGCAAGCTTCTCAAGCTAGTTGCCCATTATGTCATTGCTTATGTCATGTTGTCCTCAACCTCCAAATTCTGCTCCCAAATGCTTTTCGTCCTTTCTCCAACTTCTCGGATGAGTTGAATATTCATGGCGTGTACATACGATAAGATCATTCAAATAGTAACAATTCAGATACCACTATTTCGATGATTATCGCGATGAATTTTTTTTCTTTTGATGCTCTTCTTTATTTGTCGCTCGATAAGCAATTGGCCTAAGGGCTTGCAGAACAGTCAACTCAAAATTTCAAACCAGAAGAGAGACAAAGTAACCATAAACTGTTGCCATAGCATGATGATGATTGAGCTCTTTTGCCCCAATGTTCTACACAAATGGCACCCGGTCATTACCCTTGTCATTCGACTAATTTACATGGTTATCGATTGGGCCCAATGCTTTCTCAGGGTTGGAGGATGGCCGCCCTTTTGTCGCTCAAATAATTATTAACCTTCTAGCTATATTGAACTAGAAATGGCACAGGGCATATAATCATTATCAGCCAATGGGGGAGAGTGAAATCAGGTGTGTATCGCTGGAGTCTACTTATATTCATTTCGGTAATGACATTTATGTCTCTCCGTTAACCGCTAGATTATCAAATCAAGGCCTGAAAGTACCTTCGCGCTGAGAAAACCATTATCTAACACTGTCACAATGACCAAAGCCAACTCCTATTTTCCTATCCTTTCGAATGTTCGAAGGGGCTTCTCCAATGTCAATCTTTCCAACCCACCCGATTCGCGATTGCTTTAACAACGTAAACTAGGCCGAGCAACACTGGCACCTCGATCAGTGGTCCGACGGTTGATGCTAGAGCCTGGTTGCTGTTGGGTCCAAATGTCGCAACAGAAACAGCAATGGCGAGCTCAAAATTATTGCTGGCGGCAGTAAAACTCTGCGTGGAAGAGAGTTTGTAACCAAACCCAAGTTTGTAGGTGACGAATAAAGTCGCAAAGAATACGATGACGAAATAGACAATCAAAGGAGCCGAGACTCTGACGACTGAAACTATCTGATGAACAACCTGCCGACCCTGGGAGGCAAACAGCACGAAGATGGTGAAGAGAAGGCCTATGAGAGACCATGGACTCATCCACTTCAAGAGCGTGGATTCATACCAAGCCGGACCGACTAGTTTCCGTAGACTAAATCGAGTCACGATCGCAGCTCCAAGTGGGATTCCAAGGAAAACTGCAACACTTTTGGCTGCAGTCGAGTAAGATAGTGTGGCTTGGCTGCCAGAATTGCCGATTATATTGATGAAAAGAATAGCAAGTGGCGCGAAGAGGACCATTTGAAGCAGCGAATTGACAGCCACGAGGATAGCACAATATTCGCCGTCACCGCCAGAAAGGGCCGTCCAAATTAAAACCTACAGTTTACGGAACACGATGCCAACCCGTTAGCTTTAACCGGAGCTTGCGTGAATTGCTATAATGGTGGAGTTTTCCTCTACCCACCATTGCTATGCATCTTGCCAACCCAACAATAATAAGACCCTCTCTAAGCTCCGGTTTATCTGGCAAAAAAGCCCAAGCCAAAGCCAACTAAAGACGACATGGCATATTAGCCACTATGTTCTGTTGACCACACGAGAGAGGGTGCGACACTTGCCATTAATAAGGGGGCAATGACCCAATTGACAAAAATGCTGAAAGAAATCTGGATCCATATTTGGCGAGTTTGGAAGAGGCGGTGCAAAGATTCATAGCGCACTTTGCATAGGATCGGGTACATCATGACCAAAAGACCAATTGCTTAAAACCTCATCAGCACCTGGCTAAAAGAAACGGAAGGTAAAGGAAAAATGAAAAGAAAGCCATGCCCTGAACATACCAATGGGGACGGAAACACCAACAAATGTTCCTTTTCTCAACGCTGGACCAGTGTTGGGGACAAAATTACCAAGGATAATGCCGATTGCCATCGCAAGGAATATCCATAGTGCAAGAAATCGATCGAGAATCCCAAGGCCCTTAAACAAGGACACCTTGACAGCCTTGTCCGGTTCGACGATGCCCTGTTTTTCGACGTTGGGTTGTGAAGACTCTACTATTCCCTGAGGATTATTTATCTGTGTTTCATCTGTATTGGTGTCATGTCCTGAAGGGGACATGGTGAGTTAAAGACGACAAAAATCTTGGTTTGACCCAGGAATAGGAAACAGCTGTGAACTTTTCAAAGTAAGGGAATATGAAATCGTGGATGTACATGTACTAATGCATCATACATATACTCCTTCGTGTGGTGGATTGTCACTCAGGAGCAATGATTGGCTGTTCAGCTCACTGACACCCACTAGGTTGCAACCTTAAATTTTTTTTTTCAGGACACAACAACAACGCATCTACTACAAGCCTGAAAATGCCCGAGGGACCTGCCCGGAACGAAGATAGCTCGCCAAAAGCATTTGGTTTGTCGAACTGAGGGCATAGTCACTGAGGGGGGAGATAGCCGAGTTTATCATTCATATTCCGCCCACGTGCATCAAAGCCAACGTCTACAAGTATGAGTTGCTGCTTGTACTGTGAGCGTCTGAGAAGAAAAAGGGAGGAAATGTCATTCCTTACAGGATTTCGCGTTGTGAGGCTCTTTCTTTGGTCGAATGATGGCTGTTTTGTATGGGACATTTCGCTTATCGACCTGCAAATGCAATGATTGTGAGGTACAGAATAAGGCGTCTGAGATTACCTGTCTCAACATTAACGCAGATTGCGCCGATAAATAGTTTATTTTCCAATTGTGAGTCTTGTCTGTGAGCGAGTAATCGAACTATTTGGAGTTGGGAGGATAAGTCCACTCAGAGATGGATGCGAATAGAACTTCTGCCATGGGAAAGTTAAATGTTGGCTACGATTTGCTGTGCGAATGTTCTTTCTAGTGGTAAGTTGACCATACCTTTCTTTTTATTTGATATAAATGCATTTCTAAACCTAGGTAAGCCGACTTTTCTCGACAACTCGTTCGTCTGGAGTCACGTAACAGGAAAAACTATGAATACGCAATTGATTTCCAGATGAGGCCTTCATGGCATGCAGAACCTTACTAGCTTCCTACTGCGTATGTCGCTCTAGTAATACCCAGATACGACCATCACAACAGATACTCAGCTGCTCAGCTGCTCAAGCGCGCGTACTTTCGGGTGGACATGACCCACATCATTTTTCTCCCACCTCGTAGAAGTTAGAAGTTTGGCGGGCATATGGCATCGTTGCAAAACTGATTTGATGCCGGAGACTGCTGGCTAGGTATCATATGTTCCAAACTCCGTTCTATGTCTATATCTTTCTCACGCATACCTAGGAACGGAGCACGCATGAATGTACTTGTTGTGCTTCTTTTTTCTTCGAGGTCCAACTACGAACAAGTCCCCAAAAAGCCTGATTTCAAGCGCACCATCTATCTTTGAACCTATAGCACTAAGTGGCGTCGACCATCCAACAAGTTTTCCCAAACGTCATCGGACGCTCTCCGGACGGATGTTGTTTAATCATATCAGTGGCTGCGTGTGGGGGCGGATACACTCTCTCTATTTCATTGACGTAATAAATGTTCGTCCGTTCAGAGTGATTGAAATTGTGGGAAGGCATAGTGTACGACGTGTACATTCGATAGTGAGTGGTATCTTGCTGGCTAAAATGGAACGTACGTTAGCCAAGTCGGCGGCGTGGAGAATGCTGATTCAATCACAAACGCTGTGGGAGTCGAGGCTTTTTCGCCCATCCCGAGGTGGATTGCCTGGCACCTTGAGATGGAATCTCTCATGCCGCGCTTTATGGGTACGTTATGCCTTGTCTCACTGGGTGGCACTGGGAGGGTATCGACAATCCGTCAATCCTGGCTTCACGAGGATGGCATATTAACATCTGGGCCATTAGTCCATTAGTGAGAAACGATTTTCTTCTGAGCAACGGGTTTTCGAACTGGATTGACGTGCTCCTCAGGTGACTGATCTTAGGGTTGATGCAGCTCTTTTCTTGTAGTTAGTCAGCTGCCCGTCGGGAAACAGCCGTTAATCTTGCTTTGTTGCTGGTTTCTCAGAATTTAAGCTTTAGTCATGAGGTAGTTAAGATACTAAATAAAGTAAGCGGCGAGTAAAAATAAAGTTTTTATGTTGTAATAGTATGAACTTTGTTTACTAGGATTCCTTGCACCTTCAACGCTGGATGAGAGCTAGGCAGTTAATACGGGAACAGAACCGTTAAAAATCTACCTGTATTGCATGTTCGTGTATGTCGAAGAAATATTCGGAAACCATTTTGCGAATCATGAATAGTTAGATGACGAATCCAGAAAACTCTGGTTTTCCGGGTAGTGTATACAGAGGTTCTAGGTACGCAGCTGACAAGTCAAAAGAGGAAATTGTTCAGTAAGCTCTTGAATAGAATGATCGTCCTCAACTGATGGCGCAATAAAGCTCGTAGATTGATAAGTTTCTCATAACATACAGATATCAATGAAACAGAAGCCTGTTCATTCATGGCGCAATAAAGCTTGTGAATAGGAAATTTTTTTGATAATGAAAAGAATTTTGCCGTAATCCTATTCTCAGTCGCACGGACAGAGTTAGTCCCAATATCCGCGATATCGGATGGTGATTTGCAAAATTTCCCCCGAAACTCAACATCTTTGATAATTTTGATAATCTTTTACTACCAAGTTTCAAAGGATTCGTTGTATACAAAGCCACAAATACAAAACAACTAGCGACTCAGTCGGAAATTGCTATTTGAGACCATCGAACTATATGTCAGCCTACCAAACATCTGTAACTATATAGGTGGAAATAGATATTATTCGCTACCTGGCCTGCTCACTGGTCTGCTCGCATTGCGAAAGTAGTGCGAAGAGCCCCAAGTATTCAGACCTCTTTAATACTTGTTTGACCAAAGTCACAGAAGACAAAAACATAGTGAGTTCAATCGAACCAAAGAAAGAACTTTGGAAGTTAGGCTTGACTTTCATTTTCTCTGTCTCCGGCTCATTGAATACCCAAAGAGAGATAGCGTTTAGCCACACCGAAAAACTGGTATTATCCAGCTCCATGACTATGGGAGCGGAAAACGGCTCCGAATACCAGGTTAATTGGAGATCTCCAATCCGTGAATTACCGCTGACAAATTTGGAAAAGATCCAGAAAGAGGCCTCGATCTCTAGTATGGACTGAGAGAGTACGCAATGACAGAATGCGTGGCAATAGCCGATGCCCGGATAGCTGTCAGCTGTATGTCAGCTCCTTCAAAGAAGAATTTCGGCCATCGCGTAGTGAATCGTGCATCAGTCAAACGGGGGTAAATAGTCGCGAGGCCGTTCATGTGCATTATCTTCCTCGCCATGCGAACGTACATGTACATGTACATGCAAGCAGCTATTGTTAACCGGCATGGTGATTGACGGCTGGAGCATGGATAATTGGCAGAATAAAAACGACAATACATAGCTGAATTGGTTTTACCGTTTCTTTTCCCTCCCCCGTCCTCCAAAAATGGCTCATGGAGCAAAGAGTGGAAGAGGATTGGCCTCGCCAGGTTAATTTTCCAACCTATCATCTCCACCCGTCGTGATATGCAAGGCACAACAGCAAATACCCTGATTGGGTCTACATTCTCGTGACAGCCACTAGGGTATTTCTCACCTGTAATCGGCTGTACGCTGTACCCTTGTTTCCTGGTTCCTATGCAAGGTGCGCATGAGTGAAAGATATCTGGAACAATACAACTTCTGGGCGTTCCCCCGAGAGCAGTTCAGGCGCAGATTCCCATGGGCGTTGACCCGTTGGTCCCAGAACCAGGGTTCTTCAGCCACTATCCGCCGAAGGTTTCTTTGTTCCCCAGGGCTGATCTTTTGGTTATCACCTCGCGGGGTAAATTGGACCAATGAAAGATAAAGCTTAAAAATTCGTTGAATGGACCGTGGCGTTCGTTTGTTGCGGCTAACTGCTTGCTCGGTCTTTGCTTCCATTGACCCATCTCCGGTCCAGAATTGGATGTAAAAAGCTATACACCCGTTACTATGAGCATGTATAATTTTGGCACTCCAAAATCCGGCGGTGGTAGAATATCATTCGCCGAAATATTTTGAATGGAGCACAAAAAGGACAGTGTCGAACTGCCTAATCGAGCCTTGAGCGGTAAGATTATGAGGTACCCCCACCTACGTCATGTACTAATTGCCAACAAAGTAGCACAACTGACTCGATAAGGAACGTGCAGTATATCATGGCTTGGATAGCATTTTGTCATGTGGAGGGCCTTGAGATACACTGTTTGTCATCAGGCGTGGCAATGTTAAGCGCCCTGGGTCTAGCAAGCAAAAGCGTTGGAGAGTTCCACAGGAAAGGGGGCGCCGTCCCAAAGGGGTATTTCGATAGGAAGTTTTCGTACTCCCGGGAAAAGCCATGCAAATGCCAAACACAGATATACAACCGCTTGATATAGGTTGTACGCTCACAGACTCTGACACACGAGGCAGAACCCACCATCTCGAACGGGCGGGAGCGGAGGATCTCCAACGTCCAAATTAAGTTGCGCTAGCATTGCCCTTGGTACACCTTAATCAGTTCTCTGGATGTTTAGGCCAATTAGGATTCGTATGATGATGCTCCACCGAAGAAGCTCTCCACATCTCGAACTCTATTTTATTGAACCTCTATCAGATTCTGGGCAAGTAAACATGTAAACATAGCGTAGCGGGAAGAAAAGAGGATGCAAACGCCTTACTCTGTTGTTATAGACCGAGAATAAACGCTTTTTCGAGCAAGCTGCATTCTGAAAACGTGGCCTCGTTATTTTTCTTTGAGTCCCTGCCGTAAACCCATGTCTCTTATCACATCTTCCCTATACTCGTAATGCTCTCGTCTGTCTGACATCATATTCGATTCTGTGCATGAATAATGCGATTCGACTGCCAATGCCATTTTTTTACATGTTGCATTATACCGTTTTATTTCCCCACGGACGGAACGGAACTATCCTGGCCCAATCCGAGGAAGGTATGATCACTGCGGGCTTATCCGCCTTACCCTGGCTCCCGCACACAATGGTTCCAGACGCGGAATGGGGTGCTCAATGTGTTCTGTGTCCCTTATCGGCCCAACTATTACTCTAGAAAAGGTGTAGACAGTGTGTAACGTCATAAATATGCCCAGCATGGACCACCTAGCACGAGTTTCAGTACACTTCTTTGCATCGTCGATAATGGAAGTAGTGTACATGTACATGACTGAGGATAAACTGACCTTGTCCGTCCCTCCCGCTTCATCTGGTTTGGTTGGCGAAAAGGGAGGGGAGAAATGGAATATTGCAATCGCCTGAACACATCCCAATCATCTCATCATATCACCTCTATGAACGCGAAACCCCGCTAACTATTTTATTATCATCCAAACGGCGTAGGGCCTTGGGCAATATGGCTGGTTACCTGCTACCTGCGTAAAAAAAAGTCCGAGAGCCTACTCCGTAACTTAGAGCTCTACGCATTGTATCGGTACATTCCACGCTTCTGTGCACCGATGCACAAAAAAAAAAAAAAAAAAAATTAAAAACCGCTACACAGACTCGGGCGTGATCGCTGAAGCGTGTTCAACAATTTGATAATCCTAATGGAGATAAGAGATTAAATAGATAATGCAACTTTTTTGATAGGTCTAGCCTCCATCTCCCTCGGCCGTTGAAATCATTTATCCTGGCGCAACAATTATAGTGGTTTAAGTAGGACGCAAGGACCCCCCCCCCCCCAAGCTGCCCCCCAGAAGAACGCGAACTAACCCCGCCATTGACAGAAGACACCCCGTATTCCAAAAACGGAAACTGAATGCCGTTTGTTTCCATCTTGAACAAGAATTACGGATGGGACCGGAGACAAAATGTCCCGCCAACCTTTGTCATTTCTATCATGTATCGCTATTGTTACCGTTTGATATCAATGGGTACTACTAAGAGCCGATATTCATACAACAATATGAGACATAAAAAATGCAAATTGAACAAGCAGCTGACGAATTGAGGTATGCAATAATACTCATAGTGGTAACAATCACTACTTACTTTTTCTACAAAAGTGTACATACATACAATGAGAACAGAGCAAGTGCTTGGCATGAACCCGACTTCTCGGAGACCCTTCGGCGTACAAAATAAACGGGATAAAGTGAAGCTATTAAAAATAGCGAGTAAAAGGTTTTGTTTTACGGAATAATTGCACCAAAGCCCTCTCCCCTTTGACAGATCTGGGCGCCTGAAAACAAGAAACCCAAACGGGCAGTTTGCAGGAAGGAAGTAGATCTAGTGCACTCAATCCAAGTAACACGTCGTTAGTTACCAAATGTATGGAGGAAACTCCAGTGGTTTTCCTTTTGCCTTTTATTTCCCATTTCTTGCTTCTAATTACTCCGTAACGAGTAACGACAAATAAAAACCATTTTAAAACAATATATATATATATAATACATATATATATATATATAAAGGAATTAATAGGAAAATGCCGACGGTTACACCGCATAAAATATGTGCCAGAGTTCTCCACGCTCCCCCTCTGTGCGTCTTGTGTTACGGGGAAAAGAGGGCCTAAGTCCTTCGGAAAGTAAATGGCTCAATACATACAGAGGCACAGACAGTACAGACTTACATATACGAGAGCTCTCATGATGGAGTGTTTGTTTATCAGACAACGGATCGATTGCCTTGTTCTCTTTCCCCTCTTACAGCCTTCCACAGCAGACGCATATACGAGGAGATGCAATTTGCGTACATGTAGTGCAGGAGTTAGCTGGGCTGAGCCTTGGAAAGGGCTTGGGAATGAGAAGGAGAGAAAGCAACAGGGTTAGCTAACACACAACTATTAGTAATGCCATAGCGGCTTTGTTAGTTAACTTAGTGGACAGGAAGAAACTGGAGGTTGCAGTTCCGATATTTTATTTTTACTTTTTGGCTCTGGGCGTTGTTTCTCCGTGGGTTGGTTAACTATTTTAAATCCGCCGAGGTTAGAGCTGCAGCCCATGCTTCGGAATATGCGAAGATCAGCAAAAACGAAGAGCCGCTTATTCGTTTCGGAATGGCAGAAACGGCGAAACGAGGAACAAGGAGCGAACAAAGAAGACACGTTGGGTGGGAAGGGGGAGGGTTAGAGGGTGGCTCGTCTCCAATGCCGTTTTGAAATGCCGCCCTGTGTGCCAAAGGGGAGGGCGATTAGGTATAGTGTAGTTTGATTCTAAAGATTCAAACACCGTTTAATCCCGCCGCGCCTTTCTGAGGGTAAAGTTCGGAGGAAAGAATGGTTATGGGGCGTTTCGTGGCGGCTGCGGGCAACCAATGTAGACAGAAGTGAGTTTTGTAGAACAAGTCAGATTTGAGTAAGCAAGGGAATGAAAGGGTAAGTTCTCAAGAATGAGGTAACTGACTGGAGTTAGATAACACCGCGGTTAGAGCTACCGGCATGTGGCATGGAAGGGTTCAGAAGATCTTTTGAACTTTCGAATCTGTCAACCCGAGATTGAAAGTTAAAAAACACAATGCATGTACTGGCTGGTACAGTACATATTAAATTTTAAATAGTGGTGACAAGGATATAATGGTGGTAATACAAGATAGCAGCGTGAAAAATGAAAATAGATATATAAATTAAAACCCAACAAGGGGCTGGTAAAGAGAAAATATAATTGATGGTTAAAATAGGGTGAAAATAGCAGAAAACAAATGCCGCCCGCCAGCCCTTATACTTTTTCCACCGGGCTCGTCCCAAATCCACGAGCAAATGCCATTTCCGCCAGTAACACAAGGAAATTAAAAACAAATATGTACTGAAATAATTTCAAACGTATATGTGCAGAATAACGCGAAAGAAAAGAACGCTTTCGGCGGGCGGCTCTCTAGAAGCCGCATATCAAGCAAGGAAAAGATAGGAAAATATAGCAATCATGATGTAGATAGATGGTAGGCATTATGCGCTGGTGATATATGAAAAAAGAAAGAAATCCATATTCCCCTCGTATCGTATTGGCCAAAAGAATGATGAAAACAACAAAATGCCGACCAAAAATACACCCCGCCGACTAGCGGAAACCCAAAAGGAAATTTCAGCAACAAAGGAAAATTGCGAAACAGGAAAAATTACAAAGCTTCATTAAAAATGAGATGAAGTATGTAAAGAAATTTGGAAGGTTGAATCAGGTGGGTATTAATTTAACAGCGTCTCAAGCCCCATTCTCGAGTCTCGAGGTGGGGATGGGACATGAGCTCGCGGTTCTGAAGCCGGAGGAAGCTGGTTATGAGGGGCGGAATTAGAGTGTTGGTGCTTCCAATGCGGGGGCCGTGAAGGTTCCTGAGGGTATGCAGCAGGGATATCTGGGGCCCATCGGCGTGGAACCGCTGGTTCCAGGTGATATTCAGCGTTTTTAGAGCTGTGGTAATTTTCGTCATGGCCTGTCGGGTTGGGAGGTGATCGACAGGTCGGGGCACTGCCTCTACGCCGTTCGTCTTGTCCTGGGTGAATTTCGACAGGCACTGGATTTAGCGAAGGGGATGCTGCGGTTCGAGGAGATGCAGAACAGATGGAATTGTGATCAGAAACCATTGAGGGTGGACCGGCTGAGGTCGAGTTTGACATTTCGGAGGTAGAAGGAGAACACATGAGAGGTAATTCCGTATGCGTAGGAGGCATATATGTGACGATTGGACTGAGATGGCGGTGGTTTCTGATCGGAGACCGGTGGTCAAGCATCTGCCTCGACCATCCCAGTGGAGATCCGTATTCATACTCAGTCGACGAACATGGCTCCCTTCGTTGCCTTCCGTCGGCCTCAGGGCATAGCAATTTGGGAGGGAGTTGCTGCTGCCCACGTTGAGAAACCGACACCCAGGACGATGTTCGAGTGGAAAAGTTCGGATCCTGGTAATGGCTTCGATCACACGGGCCGTGTATCGCCATGGAACTTTTGGGGTAAGGAGGTTCGACTCGACCGTTCAATGTGCGGGAAGATGGCGTAAGGCTCTCTCTGGCTTGAATTGCTAATCCCCGCCTTTTCCGGTTCATCGATCCATTCCACCAGTTCTTAACGGCATTGTCGCTTCGGTTCCCTAGTCTTCGTGCAATTTCCGCCCATCGCTTTCCCATCTCGTGCACCATCCTCTCGATCATCAGGCCCTCCTCAACCGAGATAGGCTCATGATTCAGTGTAGGTTTCAGATTCTGGTGAAATCGTTCTCTGCATTGCTTGGGTGATCGATATTGCATGTGCTGTGAGATGCGCACCCAGTTATTCGGACCTTGACTGCGTACCAGCTGCAGTAATGTTTGATCCTCCTCAGGTACCCAAGGCCCTCGTCGTTGAGCCGGAGCCATCGTTCCAAAGGATTGCACAAAAGGACCAAGTATGGTCGGGTATAAAACAATTGCTTTGATAGTCCCGCCAATAGAAGCGTAGCTCCACTGTGGTTTCAGGAGGAGAAGGGTGAAGAAGATGTAAGTATTAATTCTAAGCAGGAGCGAATTAGTCTCCCTGCCCAATAATACAATAATTACGTGAAATAGATATAGATAGGTAGGTCTATAGTTAAAGGGGGAGTAATAATGGGAGGGTATTATCATGATAATAAATTATTATATAGATGGATGGGGCGTGGCTAGGACAAGAAGAAGTAAAGCAAAGCACCCACTCACTCGGCGGAGTGCGCAAGAGGGGAAAAGCGTCTCAACTCACGAGTGGGCGGTGGGCGTGGGCGGATTCATATATAGTGCGCCGGACAGAACAAGCCGATACAAGTGTACGAAACTAGACCAACCTGATTTAGGGCCTGGGGCGAAGGAAGGGTAGTTAGTTAGTTATCAAAGTTTCTTTTTGCTTTGTTTTTCCTGCTGCTGATGACAGAACCCCACAAGCCAGATTCGATCTGAGATCGTCACGCTTGAGTCTTTTTAAGACACGAGGCGAAAATGGATCTTCAAACAACACTGCAGATGTAAAAGAAGCGCTTGAAGGTACGTTTTGAAGCATGCAAACTGGAAGTTTCTTCGGCTTTTCTGATACAAGAAGCAAACAAGGGACCCTTTTTAGGAAATGCAAAAGAAGACATGTTGGGGGGGAGACAAGGCAGAGCAGGGCCTATGTCCCTCCTCCTTGCATGTATCATGTAACTCCTCAACCTGAAAGGGGGGGGTGGGGAGGGGAGAGTTGGATAGATAACAGCTGAAGCAGATGCCAGACGAGAATATGCGCCTTGTATGTACATGTACATGTACTTGGATACGTGCGCAGACACAGACAGACTAACTACACACACACAGAGTGATGATGATGATGCTGATGATGATGATGCCATGTATGTATTTTGCAGACTACTTGCACGATACATAATAGCCACATGCAGAAAACACACCTCTCGTGCCTGCAATGCCTGCACACCTTATACATACCTACTACCACCTTCATACAGTTTTAGTCGTACACAGTTTAACTTTACGTCGTCCGTTTTGGGGGATCCAAGCCAACATCGAACTCAGAGACGAGACAGGGAACGGGGGCAAAAGTCAAAAAAGGAGGGTTCCCACCACCCAACGAAGCCGAGCCATGCACTGTTTAAAAAAAAAAAAGAAAAAAAAGAAAAAAAAAAAAAAGAAAAAAGAAGCATAAAGCATAAAATATTATTAAAGAAAGCCAAAAAAAAAAGGGAGCAAGAACAGGAACCACAAAGCTCAAAACTGATTCAGCAGTTAGTTTCATCGACTTGTGGGTTGAAGGCCCAGGTTCCCGCCGGTCGTTACGTACAGTAACAGCCTCTACCAATGATACCATACGCCGGTTGGCTGTCACTCCTTATGGTGGCACACACACGGACACACCTTTTCCAGATCGTGGGGACTTGCGTTTTGCCATCGTAAAACAGGGATGCGATGATTCGCAACAAGGGTAGGCTAGCAAAATGGATGTTGTGCACGAAATACGGTTGAGGCGGACCATTGCGACTGGCAGACTGGCAGTCTAGCGGCTAAGGGGCCGTGGGTCAGGATTCCATTGCGCTTGAGCTAGCAAAACGAAGCGAAAAAAAGGAGACGATATTATAACAATAATAATATAAAAGCAAAAAAAAAAAAAAAAAAAAAAAAAAAAAAAAAAAAAAAAAAAAAAAAAACGCCCTGCGTCTGGGCTCGATGGTCTGGTAACATGATTAATGGTAACTTAACTTCTTCCCTCCTCCTGCTAAGTTCTAACCCCCTGTTTTCTTCCCAGTCCCAGTGACAGGGTGCAGCCGACGGGAAGAACCCCTTTGCTTTTTTTTACTTTCCTTCTTCTTGTTCTTCTTTTGGTTACGCTGTTCACTCTTTGCTACGTGATAATCTGACAAATGCGTACTAGGGGCCGAAGGTACAAGTAAGTACAGTACATACAGAAATCTGCCAGGAATCGGCAGAGTATCCCAGCCACTCTCGTTTCTCTGAGGAGAGGAGGAGGAGGAAGAAAGTAAGGCGTGGAACTATCGCAATCCTCATGTTCACTTCAGGCATGCAGGGGGCCAGCCATGCTTGCACGATGATTCGGAAACGCCGCCCAACACTATTATTATTATTCTCCCCCCCTCCCCCTCCCCGGGGTCATACAAAGCAGCATATACCCATGTTTGAGAATAGCGTGGTTCTTTGACTCGAACCCACCATCGGCTTCGCCTCTTTCACAGGGAGATCTCGGTGGGCTGGGTTGGTGATGGCTTTCTTGCATTACCGTCAAACTCCCAGAACCGATTGATAAACACTGTTGGCAGGAGGAAGAAGAGCAACGGGACTGACAACCTTGCTTTGGTAGCTGGCTGTTTGTTGTTGGGTTGGTGGGGTTGGGTGGCTGGTGTCAAACAGGGTACTGTCCATAGTATGTCCAGATACTATACGGAATAGCCAAGTCCGATTTCTTTACGTCAACTACGTCAATGACAATTCTTAACTTCCTGAAACGCTTCGTGATGGAAATAAATGATGCTGAGATCTAAGAGAAAGAAAAAAAAAGTGAAAGGAAAACTTGGAAATTTTGGTTTTGAGTCCAGCTCATCAAAAGGGTTTGATTCATTATTCAGCAGCAAGGGGGTGGTAATAGTCATCTTTCCATCAAAGCTGGCCGTCATACAAAGTTTCATCAGTACGATTGCATTCCAATTACCCGTTCGTGGTTAAGTTGCGCAATTTCATGGCCTTGTTGCGAAGTCTGGGGGCCGATTTCAAAGCGGACAATGCTGCCATATTTGGCCTTGAGGGCATTGGGGAGCATGTACTGTGCTCGATGACGGGGCTCTGAGGAAAAAATAATCCAATACACAAATTATGATTCACATTGATTTCAAAAATAACTTAAGAAAGAAAGACTAGGCCTAAAAAAGGATGGGGCTCAGACGAAATCCAGGGATTAACAGTTAACTTAGAGCACAAGCAAACCCGTTGCTACCAACAGCTTGTAAAGCCGCAATGCTTTGAGAAAGGACCAAAGCCGGCTTGAGGATGGCAATCGCTTTTTTCCCCTTCCCTCCCCTTTCTCTCCTGATCTCACTGTGGCTCGGGTGCATGGATCTGGCGCTGGTGCGAGCCTCCGGGCGCCAAAGGATGTTTTGCGAAAATCGAGAGAATATGAAAAAGGAGGATCTCCCTGGCCCTTCCACGGCTCACCCGCTTGAACATCACAAGGATTTATTAGCCCCAGGAATAGAGACCAAGGGCGCCAGTGGGTGGGGTCCAAAGGCAGCAAACCCTAACAACAGCCAGTTAGCGTCGATACCGGAGCTCGAGAGCGCAGCCAATAATGGATGATGATGCCGAGATATACGTGATTTGGTCGAGGTGCCACACCAGAGTCCTGGACCGAGCGGCCAATGGCTGGGGCCCTAATTCTGCTCAGGGACGGATGGATGGTACTCCGTACATGTAATGTAACTACTGTACATACTTTTAGAGGGATGGCTGATTGCTCCGAATCTCTTTCTCTTTTCCTTGACATGTTCGGTGAAGTTGACACAACCACAACCGTAGCCTAGAAGAACGCAACTTTTTGAGCTGACCAGGGTATGTTGCTGGTCAGTGGTCACAGCCACAACTAGACACTGCGAGACAGAAATCCAATTCGCCCCCCCTCAATTGAGATACTCGCAAACTTTGGCCCAGTCCGTAGTAGAGACAAGCGACTCAAAAAGACCCCTGTTCCTGCGCATGAATTCTTTCTCTGGTGCTGGTGGCAACTGTCCCAACGACTTCCACTCCAGTGCAATTGATTCCACTCACAGGAAAAAGAAATGAAAGCTAAGAGGGAAAAAGGCGTTGTTTTACAGCGCGGAGTTTCCATGCGATTTTCAACCGTTTCAGCCAGCCATCACCCTTAGCGTGAGATGACCAGCAGGCCAGCCATTCCTGTGGAGCAAGCTAGCAACAAGCGTTGCTGCGCCGAGAAAACATCAGTTTCTGATCGGGTAGATCGAACATTCAAAAATTCGAAATTGAACGACTTTTAGTGCCAGCCGGCGACCCTCAAGCGCTAACTAGGCGGGGAAGATCGCTTAATCAATCGTCATAGACCGTCTGAGTTTGCAGGGATATGGTGCCCGGTTCTTATTCGACCATGAAACTCAGGGTCAATCTGAGCTGTGGTAGCTAAATCAGGCTATGTTTTGTCACTAGACTGCGTAGAAAACGATTTCTGGTCGCTAATATGCTGCACGTCTTAAATGTGCAGGTAGACGTGCAAATATATCTATCATTATCATCATTTATCAGGCGAAGACTGTATATTTCCTGGGGGTGTGTTGAGCCATCACCACAAAATCGATACACATTACCGAGCCTTCACTGTGGCTGCAAAAGGAAAATCCACTCTTTTTGCTACCACTGACATGATGTTACATGGGCCTGTAATAAAGTGATCAGCGCATCATCCATACCTAGGCTAGCTTCTTAGACCGCCATAGTAGCATAGCGAGGGATTTAACTCCGACTTAAGGCGTATTTTATCTGTGCTAATTAGCTATCAAGCATCACCTTGTTTTCTGGCTATCTGCTTCGGGAAGTTTCCAAACCAAAGTCGGTTTCACTGCTATCAGAGTGTTGACGGTCTCTACCCTGGAATGCGGCGAGAGAAATTACTAGCAGAGACTCGAGAGAAAGGAAGAAGGGATATAACCTGGGAACCCGGCCCCCTCATTACCAGATTGTAGGATTTCTCCATGCTGAACCAATGCCTCTTTTCCAAGGTGTCGTGTTGATGGGGCTTTTTTTGCGCGATACTATGATAGTTCCCCCACTGGCCACGGAATCATCCCCTTGACACGCAAGGAGAGTTGATTGAGCTAAGAGTCCCAACAGCTAGTTCACACCTATATTCTGTGCAGATGCAGGTCATGAAAACGTCCCGAGACACTTATACTAGCGGCTGATTGGATGAGGCTTCCTTGATATGATCACTCCCTCTTCTCCTTCTCGGGAGGGGGAAGAGACCGAGTGTTCCGACAGGGCCATATCGAGAATCGTCAACTCAGCCGTTGCGTTTGGGATGGTGGAGGCTTGCTAGTGCTTATTGGCGTTGCAATGCTTGTTGACTAAGAAAATCAAAAGTTGTTTTACGCATACGTTGCGAGAGCTGGTTTCCTCAATTCTACTGGTAATCCGCCTTAGTTCCATGCTCAATGCCAAATTATCCTGATACGATTTAGCCGCCTGGGGGCCTGCCATTCGCATCAATTCATGGTCCTCCTCGAATGGCCATTGAAGCATTGATCATGCGTTTTAGTTGGGCCAAAGTCGGAAATGATGACGGTCGTTATTTTGCAACCGTAGTTAGTAAATCCTCCATACGCCCGGGTTATAGGAGCCGTTTCCAGGTGCCTTGCTTGGTGGATGCAACCATTATTGGAACCAACGGCTCCCCCGGTTCAGTTGCTTCTGGCAGAAAGTAATCAACGACTCCGCATTTTTCAGATCTGAGGCCTTCTAAAAAGAAAAAAAGCGATCTGCTGCAGAGACCATTGAAGGTAAACTGGAAAACGGGTATCCAAGACAATTTCTTTCTCGCTCCTCATGTTATCTGCTGAAACTATTAGGTTATTATTGGTCTTTAAAGCCGCTGACCTGGGTTCCTGTTCTCCCCTGATGATTTGCCGAGCGGTTTTGGTCCCAGTAATTCGCTACTCCTCACCCAAAGTACTAGGTATTCTTCTCAATACTATGCGTAACCCCCTTTCAATCCATGCATGGCAGCAACATGGGTCACCATGCTTTATGTTCTCATTCTTTCAACCTCATGAGAGTTGCTATTCCATTTCAGGAAATTGGAAGCTTGATCCCCACGCCATATGGACCTAAAAGCAATTATTGTTTAGCACACCGCACCAAGCGCAACCGTTCGTCAAACCCATGCATAATTGAGGATATTATTGCAGGGTCGGAAGAATAAAAGGAATCGAACGATCGGCTTTTTAATATGAGGTTCATCCTGCACGAATCGGGAACATACATGATGTGGCAGATGGCGGCAGTAGTGGAAAGAGAAGCTTTCTTTCTCGAGCATCCTCTTAGCCGAGGAAAACCGAGCTGGCCTTGGGGTATTGTACTCCCGTGGGCCGTGACTTGAGTGTTTGAGGAGCTATGGGGAAAGCATCTGAGTGGTGGAGCGCTAGAACTGCACCGTTGCACTTTAAAAGTCAAAGTAAAAAAAAAAAGTCTCTCAGTCCGTGCACGCGAAAAGATTTGTCGAATCACTATTGAGCAATATTGACAGCAGGTCTGGCCCGCCGGCACAACTGGAGCTGGGCCACCAAATCATCCAGTCGTTCTCTGGCGAGGGATAATCGCTGGCGCGCTTGTAGTGATGCGACTATAGTTCGATTAAACTTCCTGAGGGGTGCTGAAGATATTGCTGACTGCAGTTCTTTAGCCGGACCAATTGGTGGAATCAGTGGCGTCTTAGCTTAGATATACCTGGGTACATACAACTATCCATCATGCATGGGATTGGCCAATAATGGCTTTCGAATTTTGTTTGAGCAACGACACCTAGGTGGCATCGTGTTGACCACTCGTTGAGGATCGGCTGCGGGGCGTCTGGTATTCCACATCACCTAGCAGCATTCAACCGCCAACGCCTCGGTGGATCACTTGTGGCTGATCAGAGTGGAACTGCGAAGGAAGAGTTGCGGACGCCACAATTTGCCGCCTGAGGCAGGCTAGGAAAATTTCAGGCTTCGCTGAGGCGCCTTGCTTACTATTGGCTCTCTGCAATCGATCTCAGCTGCTTCCAGGATATGAAATAATTTCAGGCCAGCTCTGACAATTGTTCTCCTCCCTTGCGCATCTTTTTCAAAGCCGAACCCAACCTGACTTTCATTGTTGTTGAAATGGGTTGCCGCATAGACGCTCAGGCCAAAAGCGATGTGGTCGTTGAATATTGCCCTGAGACCTCGAACTAGCAGACGGCGCAAATAACAATTATTCGGACAAAACCTGCTCAACCTTACAAACCTTAAAAGGTTCTTCGAAAAACCGTTTTCCAGAGAGCACCAATAATTGGCTGATGACCTTGGTCCCATCTGTAGAGGCGATATCATTGGTTGGTAAAACTGAGTCCAATTTTCGAGGCGGAGCTTGACCGGATATTTTATACTGATGATGGCTGCTGATGACTACCAAAGCGCGATGCTTTGACACGCGCAAAGTCGCCAGTCCGCCGGGCTGAAAAGGTCGAGTCCCTCGAAAATTTGACTGGCGGATCGTTAGCGCAACCCGCCGCGAGTGGCGTAGACGGGTTTTTTTTTTTTTTTTTTTGTTTGAAGAGAGGTAATGATATGCTCCTCTTTGCGGCGATTACCGATGGATATTATCAGGATGAGGACACAGTCACGCAAACATGAAGCGGATCGACCCCAAAAGAAAAGATTTGTCACATCTGTCCTGTCCCTCAGGGGCTCTCAACTTCTCAAGTACTCCGCAGTTAGGATGAACCAATGTGCATTGACTGGCCGAGGTCTAAATGCCGCCATTTTGATATTGGACAGTACAGAGTGCTGGAGATTCGTTGTGCCTGTGCAAAGCCGGTTCCATGCGGGGGAGTGCCCAAGCCAGGCTCATTTTTATCATGAGGATCAGAATGAATAGTTAGACTAGCGGTGTCAAGTCTTGTGGATGCACGGATGCAGAACTCTTTGAGTTCGAAGTTGTTGGTTTTGGCCGGTGTTTGGCCATGTCGTCTTCCGACTCCTCTCTCCCAACGGAATGCCATCAGCTACAACTATGCCGAAGAATAACTACCTATCCTATATTGTTTCAAAGGCGGATACCAACAGCATGGCTTTCGCTGCGCGCATCTCGGATGCCCTGGTATATTCATCCCCCTTTTTGCCAAAAAAAAAGAGGTAATTTTCAAAACCAACCCTGAGAAACTACCCCTGTATGTTCTCTTCAAAAACCCCTTGGAGGGATAATTTGACAAATCTTGCCACCCCTAGATGCTGTTTAGCTCTCCTCCCTAGATCTATTTCTCAGCACATGAGCTGTAACCACCTTTTCCGTCGCCTATTCCCCTTCGTAGCTCACCCGCTAACCTACATTTAGCCATTCGTTTATCCATATTTCAGCCAACCACATCTCCTGAATCCATTTATTGGCATTGTGCTATTGATTTCGAGGCAACCGAACGAGATGCCTACCACCTATCGGCTAAGAGATACTGAGGAACCAGTTGGCTTGGCAGGTTCGCAATTGGCTGTATTCCACGGAAGTTGGATCATCTCAGTCGAGGGCTTCGATCACAGGAGGGAAGTAAGTATGCGCTCAGATCTGGCAGAGCAATCACAAGCCTTAGGCATCCTATACATGTGCATGTACATGCCTACTATCGGACGCTTGCCACTGAGATGCACAACGTGATATCTCCTCGTAACTTATTGAGTGCGTACATCCCGCACACATGAATGGCGCAGTGAATTTCCGAATGCAGTACTGTACTGCCACAGCCTTATCACATTCTCCAGATTTTGCCACGTCACACACACCAGCCGGCTACCTTTCAGCGGAGTAACACGGACAAGTAAACAATGTGCACACATGTCTACCTCGCAGAAAAGCTCACTGGGTGTACTGCAACCCCTTCTAACCTAGCTACAATCCTTCATTGTCAACGTCTGGCCACACTGCAGTAATGGTTTCCAAAAAACGTGAACACGGGCCCCATATCTTGGCTCAATAATCGCAGCGCGAACAGGAGGAATGAACCCTGTTTGATAGAGGCATCTCCCTCCATGCCTTAGCTTCCACCATTTCTGGTGCACATTGTCCAAGCCATTCTAGATTCTGTGTTTGTCGTGCATTGCTATCGCCTGAAAGGTCATTCAACGCTCTCTCGCAGACTACGGGCGGAGAAATGTCCTTCCGATGGAATGTATTCAAGCTGAAGGAAACCATCATTGATAGTAGGCACGGCGCCCCCCTCTGGCTGGTGAACAAGCGGAGGGGGAGGAGGGAAAATATACGCGTATCGTACTTTCATACTCCAAAAGACTCCTGTAACCTGGGTTGGCGAAAGCTGGAGCTAAGCTCAATAATCGTGTTATCGCTTCCATTTTGATAGTTCGGGTTAAACCCAGCAACATTCACCCCGGCTTTCTCCTGAATTTTCCGTTTTGGGAGGGGGAGAAAAGCGGTTGCCGACTAGTTCCTAAAAATAGCAATTTAGATCTGCTCCTGTTAAGTGCACTGATAGTAGAGGGGACCTGGGGCCCCCCCAATATCCCCCCCGTGCCAGCTACCACAGAGCACTAGCTCCTCTCAGTGAACTCTCTGAGATCACTCCTAGGGCTCACTCCTAGGGCCTCTCTGACTCTCCATGCGGCACTGAATTTGTCCAGGCAAGATCTTGATGTTGGGGTTTTTAATCCTTCCTGGCTTTGAACCTGTGTAGCATGTTGGCACACACCCAGTGGGACTCAATGCTAAAGGGCCTCATAACCTGTTGGGCCACTGGGGCAAAAGAGCTCAATCACCACCAGTGTGCACTGATGGTAGGGGGACCCGGGACCCCCAACAGTTACTCGCGCTTTTGCAACAGTTGCGTCACGCTAAGGCAGCTTCCAACAGGGTCACCTTGGCTGGATAGTTTTCTTGTTCACGAACCAGCTGATCGATGAGGGGATTGTGACATTTCAAATCAAGGACTAGACACTGCACGATGTTCCCAAGTGATGGAAGCGACGACCATGCCATGAGGGGGAAGCTTTGTGGCTATGGTTTTATTAGCGTGTTCTAAAGCGATCTCTTCGCCTCGATAAGCGATTGGTTGGTGGCTCGGATAAATCTCAAGGTGCTAGCTAGCAGAGAAAACGGGCGGAGACGATTCATCAGCAACTCTACTCCGTAGCTCTGCTCAAATCATTTTCTGATGAAAGCGGAGAAAATTGTGCAAGAAGATAGAAGCCCACCCAAGTACCACGTCCTTGCTTCCAAGTTCTGGGGCTCTGGATTTGCTGACATCCTGCACATGCGAGCCAGCGCGCCCTCAACAACTGATCCCGGTTCTGTCGAAAAGATGGGGGGAAAAAAAGGTTGACGATCAATTTTCCTCATCAAAAACTCCAGTCGGTAAGCCTCAGCCGGTCCTAAACCTTACTCCCAAAAGGGAAGGAACGCATAGAAAGTTGCCTGCTTTCAAAACGTGGGTTAGACGAGAAATGCGCCCATTTCAGTGCTTTAACGGTCTAACTTCCGGTCGCTAATAATGGTAGACCCAGATACCCAAGCCAATATGTGTAGTAACTAAGAAAACGGTCTTCAAGACAAGCGAGTCGACCCACATCTAGACCACAAGGAGAACATACAGGACGGACGTCCAGCAAACGGTGGCATTCGTTCAGAAACCCCCCCTCCCCTGTTAGGCTGGTATTTATTATTTTCACCGTTGAGCAGGATCAGGATGAGAAATGATGGTCGGTCGGAAAGGGCTGACACATGCAACGATGCGATGCACGTATGTCCGTTGGCTTTATTCTCAGGGCACGTTAATTGTTCCCTCCTAGCTGGTATGCACAATTAGTCGGATAGTTACTGGACATGTAAAATACCACATTGTGGCTTAATTATGCAAAACGGTTTCTTTTTTTTCTTTTTAACCAACTCCGACAATGCCACATGTAGGCGTGACGTATTCTCATCCAGTCTTTAGGAAAAGAAATGCGGTGGCAAAATTAAAATCTCTTGCCGCCGGATGGACGTTACAATTATGATAGCAAGAACGAATAGTCAGTCGGATTTCTGGAGCTAGGATGCTACATGCATGTCTTCCTCGGTATGGTTATGTTTCCCTATCCAGAGCAGTAATAGAATAGAGAATCCACAGGAGCGGGTAACTACGGTGTGGACTAAAGCGGGTAGGTAGGTGAAGAGAAATGTAGTTTGGCACTGGAGCTGAAAACCCGATAGTTGGGCCTGCTTCAACCTTGTTTAAACCCGATGCACAGGTAGCCACATGGATCAGATATGGTCCAACAGGAGGCCGCCGTTGGCGATCGAGAGGGGTTGATCCCAGTACACAAACTAGACAGGGTGTATCCGTAGTTAGCTCACCTCACACCTGCCATACGAGGACTGTCGAAGGGGCTTTTTTTTACTTTTCACCAACCTGCCAGCCAATTCAAGAAACAGACTCCATAAACATCACACGTTAGGTGGCCCTGCTTGGGCAGCCAGCCATGTTGCACGATCAACGAACCCCTTCCACACACCCGTCGTGAATCAATAATCCCCCTGCCTCGGGGTTCCCGATTTGTTCGATAAATGATCCACTTGACGCCCTATTTCAGCTGCTGATGGACTCCACTAAGAACATACATACAGCGTACATTATCGGCGAGCATGGTGTGGAGGACGGGGTAGGCTGTTTTGGTTTTTCTCTCCTTTTCCTTTATTTTGGTTTGATACCTTGGACAGCCTTGTCCAGGGTTTTGATCTCCATTTCTCAAACATTGAAGGGGGCACCTGGCAATGCCGATTTCTGGGAATGATTTTTTAGTACGTGGAGATTCCATAGTGTCCCCACGACCCTCGAATTGTTTTGGCTCTGGCTCTGCATGAATGTGCTGCTGGAGAGGAGGCAAATCTTATCTCCTAGTCACATTGCCGATGTCAATCCCTTTTTTTGTGTGTCCTGATATCTCGCAGCTCACGGATATGAGTACCTAGAATTGAGATATCACGTGCTGCGCTCCGAGATCCCTTGAGGACGTCGTGGATTGTCCAGGTCCACGGGTGTCTGCTTCCTGCTTGCTATGAGCGTGCAGTGTGTGCAGTACGGGGAGATTAGGAGTCTTGGATGCCTGGTGACTGTACGAACTGGACCTCTAAAACAGATCAAATGCGCTCTCCTGTTTCAGGATTTCGGAGTTAGCCATTAACTTACATGAAATGCTACCGCGCCCGAACACAGGTCGCAGGCATAGATCTTTTTTGATAGTCTGCTAGATTGCCCGTTATTTACCCCTGTTTTCATGCTTTCTCCTCTCATGGAGCTATCATTGTGTGAATCACGCGTATATCCGCACTTCAATGAGCCCAAGTCCAATATCTTCATGTACGAAGTGCGAATCTGAACGCGCAAGTCTGCAGAAAATCAGAGCCTGAATTTGTAGCTTCGGAACCTGCTGCTCCTTTTGTCAAAGTGGTGGATCTAAGATCTTGAAAGAGCACCACCGTCCAGGCATATCGCGCTCTTTCTGCCGAATACTTGTGTACTGAGTGAGTACCTTGTCAATAGCCAATCGCACATGAATGCGCGAAACTGCCCGCCACGAGCCTCTGTGAGATGTTTCCCACGTTGTTATCTTGACATGTATATGATGCCTGGGGCGACTATATTTGCGACATGTGATATGCGTGATAACTATCACAAGATGTTTGGGGGAAGAAGAATGCTGTGTTGCCATGTATCTTTCTTCCGTGTCCCATCCGTTTATTACGATACGTCGTCCGAATAACAGCACTCGGGTAGATGCAAAAAACTTGTGAATTACGATTTTCCTTTTTTCTTTCTCTATATTCTAACAAAACTCCAGTGGATCCTTTTTGTTGTCCTACGCATAAGAAATGTTTATTTATGCATCAAAATATCTATAATCACATGTACTCCGTATGCACGAAACCAAACCCTCTTGGTCATGCATAGCTCGTATCTAAAAATATACTCGACAGATGTTAAAGAGTACACGTAGTAAAAGCGGACATAGATTAAATTGAACCCAGATATATAGGCCATATTTCCACAAAAACATGCATCGGTACATACATGTAGACACATTCGTTCAAACTCACATCTATTTTTATGCATCTCTCGTTCGATATATATATATACATACATATAAGATAACACTAGGATGCTGGAACCACGCACCCTGCGCAAGTCTGGGATGATTAGAAAGAAGAGAGAAAGCCGTGTACAAAGAAAATCAGAAGACATATAGACATACAAATATTAAGAAGAGATTTCGTCGAATTAGTTTTGAAAGCCTCAGAGACACACTGCACAACGAATCAATGATCTACCTATATATATATAGTGGATATAGCTTATATTGCCATCGAATAATCAAACAATTGACATCTTAGCAATCCCATCCGACCGCCAGGCATTTACTTTTCTGTGTACGAATACACAAAGTTCCAGAAAAAATAAAATAGAACCAGGAAATAGGAGTGAGTATCCCATCCCGATCACCAACCACCAACTCATCTTCTATCTACTCAGTCAAGGACTTAAATAAATCTTAAATTTCCCATATTTAATTGAGGGGGAAGGGGGGTGGGGGGGGGGGGTGGTTTCCCCCCCTCTTTTCCTAACATAGCCATTTCCCATCTTGCGAAGCTGGCGATCCGTAATCTATTATGCTGAGATAAAAAGGTAAAAAAAACAAAAGAACTCAAGGGGGCCTATGATCCAGTTCCATGGAGTACAACAAGGGGTGAAAAAAGGAGAGCTAGAAACAGAAGGCAGAAAGGAAAAAAGTAAAAAATAAAAAAAATAGAATCCAGGTACCATATGCTCAAATCCATATGCCCATCAATCACAAATTGTAAAAGTATAACCATATAAATCAAAAAAGAGAATCAAACGCCTCGCCCCGCAAAGGGTAACTAAATAGCCAGACAGCGAAGAGCATGCCCAACTCGCAGCAATATTCAAATAGGCATTCATCATTCATCATCACTCATCAGTATCATCACAAAAATAATTAGAATGATAGCCACAAGCTGGCAGCTAACTGATAACCCCCTCCCTTTTTTCCTTTTTGGTTGGACAGTTCAGGTGGCTAAGTACCTTATCCTACCTGCCAGGAAACAAAACAGATGTGACACGATGATGTTTCTTATTTTTCCCAGAGTCTCTGGAACTGACAGTCATGATTTGATGTAGTTGGAACCATGTTGTTGTGGCGACGGCGGAAGAAGGGTTATAAGGATAACCGAAGGGAATATTAAACCCAACTGAAGGGGGCAAAATAACAGAGAATCGCCCAAAATAGTAACACCCGTTAAATTGGGGTCAGGTATAGAGCAGAAGCAAAAGCAGAGCCAGGACGAGAATTCAATATACAAAAAACAGGATCTCTATCCCAAGAAGGGTGTAGTTGGAGAGAATACATGAATAAGAGGGCCCAAAAAAATCGAAAAACTATAAAAATAGTAAGGATAACTAAAGAGTTAGTTAAATCAAACCAAAACAAAGTAAACGGGCCGAGCAGGGATGGAGTCAACTCTCCAAGGCAAAAATAATTTGATAAAAAACTTATTGCGCTCAGAGAATATTGCCCACCCTGCTTGCCATTTCCAGTCATGTTTTCCCCGACAAAATGCCATCCCAGCTCTTAAAAGTCCCATGTCCAATACATGCTATATATCCTGTTTGTGCCCCAAAGTGCCATACATAGAGGATTAAATAGATAACGCCGTTGGCAGACAAGATACGCTTCTTCCAGAAGTCGTACAACAAAAGGGAAAAACGACAAAAACTGTTTTAGCATAAAACAAAGCCCCGTTGTTTCAGGAGGTAGGAGGGTGGCGATAAATAAGTGTGGCGACGATAACAAAGGGAATAAAACATGAAATATCACAAGGTAGATTTAATAAAGGTGTAATGAAACGCACTTATGATCCAGATGGAGAAGTAAGGGGTGTGGAGAAACGTTGGATGATTCGAAGGCCAAGCGATGGTGATCCTATAAATAGCGAAATGAGCATCCGTGCGTAACGATCAGGGCTGGAGAGTAACGAAATTCCGCGCTGATAGCCAGTCCTAAAAGGCCCCGCAATACTACAGCCACACATCGCCTTCTTCCCCTCTTACCCACTTCCTCCACACCGCATCATACGCATCTTCCAGATCATTCACCCATCGTTTGGTATCGAAGAGTTTACTTTCCCATCGATTCAGGAAAAGCATTTTTCTCAATTCAACCAGTCTCCCCCTAGCACGACCATGGCCACCCAGTTCATATCTCAGATCCAGGCCAAGACTTATAGCACGTTTTTCATACTCCTCATCTGAAGATGCAATGAGCTCATGAGCAGCTTGGCGACCAGCTTCAGTCTGCGGGAGGGCGCTGGTGAGGATGCTGGAAGCCATGCGGGAGCACATTTTATATTTATATCTGGGGAGGGTGAGAAGTGGGGTACCACTCCAGAGGACGTCGGCCGCAGTTGTGTGGGCGTTGCATTCAGGGGTATCAAGGAACAAATCACAAATGCGAGCACGAGAAATATGTGCATGTTTGGGAGCGACATCGGTGAAAACGATGCGGGAGGCCGTGGCCTCGCCGGCCCAGGCAACAGCTGTCTGTTTGAGATTGTGTTCTCCAAGTTCTGGAAACCGAAGAAGCCAGAGAATTGCGTTCGGGATGTGGGCAAGAATACGTAGCCAGGTACGAAACGTGGTTGGCTCGATCTAAAGCGATTCGAAAATTGTTAGTTTCATTTGAGAAATTGGTCCAAAGGGATAAGCATTTTTTGAATAGCGGGAAGTTTTCATACCTTATAAAGTTGATTAAAGTTACCAAGGATTATGGCATCATCACGGAGATCGGGGAACATCTCTTTGCGCATTTTCCACCTGTTACTTTGCTCCTCTTCCCAGGTCAACCGCCTGTCCTGCGAATCTGGAGCACTCTGGCGATGGTCACAGCAGAAAAATGTATGACGGGTAAAAACGATCCTCTCTCCATAGATCCAATCTTCGAGGTCTTCGCCATGATCCTCCTCTACCAACCGATCTTCGACCCGAGTAATGCGTTTCCTTGGAGCGAGGGTTTCAGGAGGAATTGAAATCTGGTCCGCAAGGATATAGTCGCACCATTCAGCGCCTAGTGTACCCGCGAATCCCATAAATGACATGTGTATTGGTGCCGGCCTGGCGGCGAAAACCTCATTCCTTGCTCCACGGGTATAACCATTTAGGTTTATCAAAATGTGTATCTCGTCATTGACGATTTGTTCCACTAGTCGATCCACAGGCCAGCTGCTGACATCACGGAAAACAGGGGCTTCACGTTCTATCTGTTTTCGATGCACGGAGTTGTCACTGGCTGTTGTTGCATAGCAAAACGCCTTGACTCGAGAAGGGTTATGGAGGCCGAAAACAGACTGCATCAAGTGCGCAAGCGGATGATTGTTGAAATCTGATGAAACATACCCGACGTTTAAATGGGGGTTAGGTGGTGGGGGAGGGCGGAACACCGTTCCAGGCAGCCAAGGAGATCGAAGTGTCGAGCACGATATTCGCAGACCATTGCGTTGCGAAATGTGACGGATTTGCCTTGCTGAAAGGGGGCATGTAAAAGTGTGGAACGGTAAAACGGTCGGGGCGTTGGGAGCGGCTAAACTAGCTGGGAGTTGCGGCCGGGAGTATTTCGAGGGGGGATACTCTTTGCCATGAACGTATCGATCCTGATACCAACGCCAACCGATCCACTTTATCGCTCGTTCGACGAGTCTCACAATTCTCGAGCCTTCCCATTTCTTTCCCGCCCAGTTTCTCAGAAGAGCGTTCAAAGAAGCATTGTAATGGCTCAAAACCGAGTCTTTGCCAACGAGAGCTAAACTAAGCCCGAACTGGTCCCGCGGCATGGAAGCTAGCACACCACTTCCCCATGTTTCCCCATCCTTGAGCTGCTTATCCACGATTTCAACAACACGTTTAATCCAGCCGGAATCAACTCCCATTTCCTTCGCATCCCGAAGCATCCCCTTGTCATCGACATGCCATCGGTCGCGGGCACCATTGCCAGTTGCTATCCCACCTCTGCCACTCCAATTGCAAACCGAGTTCAATGCGTTTGCAAGACCACAAACTGCCTCTGCAAACTCAGGATTAGCAGCAACGGCCCTTTTATAGTAACCAATCGCATCGTTAATCCGCCCTGAATCTTTAACAGCATTGGCTAAATTGGCCAACGCAATGTCGAATTTACTGTCGCATTGCACGGCCTGTTCATACATTTTGATTGCGGCTGGGAGTTGTCCAATGTCCTTCAAAAGACTGCCAAGGTTCGTATAGAGATGAGCATGTTTCGAGTCAAGGTTCAGCCCGTAGTTATAATAAGCCAGGGCAAGAGCAATTCCGCTCCCTGGAACAACTCCAGGGATATCCGGCAGCTGGTTTTCGCCAGATGCATGGGACGGATTAGGTGGTCCAATCTGCTGGATGCTCGCGAGCAAAATTCCGACGTTGTTGGCCGTGGATGGGCTGGGCTGGAGTGATAGAGAAAGGTAATAAAGAGCAAGAATATCACGGACTCCCGTAGAGGTTTTTGAGCCTCCAAGACTTGAACTGGAAGACATTCCATCTTGATAGATTTTGGCCAAAGAGAGCAACGAGTTGCTGGTAGTAGAAATAGCTGCCTTTTTGGCAATCCCGTCGGGGATGTGCTGGAATCCAGGGAGGTTCCCTTGGGGAGGGAAAACGAGTGTCGCTGTTTGCAGTGCCTTATCAGGGTAAAGAAGCAGTGCGTTGGTAGAGTCGCGCCGCTGCGAGGGTGCGGGGAAATTATGACGATTGTCCTCCTCAAAAGCCGACAGTATCAGGCTGATAAGACTTCGAATTCCACGCCGCCGTCTCCCTGCTCCGATGAGAATGGCATCTTCGAAGGCGGACGCTGCCCCGCTATTATCACCCAAGGCATAGAGCATATTACCCTTTGCGTGTATTAGAGCAAGTATTCTTCCATTATCGCAGCCAGGTATAGCATATCCGCTTGATCCAAAACCGGGGGCCGCATTTTTGTTTGTACCAGCACCGAAGCTAGGAGGACTATCAGGTTCCGCTTCATAATCAAATGCTGCTTTGTCGATGGACTCTGTAGTTGAAACGCTCGACTCTCTGCTCTCCGTTTCACTGTCTGTTTCGCTGATAAGACCGTCCATCTTGAAGCATTCTCCATTCGCCGTGACCCGCAGAGCTGTTTCAACGTATTCAATGATATTAACTGCTTCTTTACCCCGTTGACTACTGCAGAGGAGACCAATGAGGTGTTCTACAGCTTCGAAATAACTTGGACGCAGCTTGACAGCCCGTAGCCAATGGTTGAGCGCCTCCTCACGACGATCAAGAGCGAAAAGTGTCGCCGCAAGATTTGATATCGCCTCAACGTGCCTATCAAAAAGAGAAATGTTAGGACAACAAACGCAAAATGGGCTGTTCGACTATCACAGCAGCAATAATAAGGGGGTGAGACGTACGAAGCATCCTTATTAAGTATTCGAGTATACCACCTAAGGGCTTTATCATAATCCCCAAGGCCGTAAGCGAGACATCCACCAACAAGCATTCCATCAATCCATTCCCATCCACTTTCGAGGCAAAGGCTAGAGAGGATTTCCAGGGCAGACGCAGCATTCTCCATCACCGAAGCCTCACTGTACACATTAGCACCGGAAGAGCGACATATCGGCCGAAGGTTATCAAATCCATTAGCATCCGCTAACCGGTGATTCGAATGCTGACCGAAATTAACGCGTTTGTCGTGGTAGTTCCGCATGAGATTGTTCCCGGGCACCGTAGAATTGCGCAAAGGAAATTGTTTGCCATCCATCTGATTTTGTGTCATCAAGTCCAGTGGCCGAGAATGGGTTCGAAGGAACTGTTGATTTGGAAAAGTAGCATCCGCATTACCAGACTGTGAGCTGAAGTCAGAAGCCGGTTGTCTTGGGGGTTTGGGGTATATATTCGGTTTGGAACGGCCATTATTGTCTTGGATCCCTAGAGCGGCATTTTTCCTTCTAGTATGGTGAAGTGAAGTAAGTAGGTCAACATATACACTATGTGCCCAGGAGAGAATCTTTTCTTTAAACTCAGTATTCCTTGGTCTTGAGCTAACGTCCGCCGTTGACCGTTGAAACGCATTCTGTTGCGGTAGAGCTTGCCAGTTGAAGTTATCTAATTGGGGTTGCCTTTGCTGCAGCGTATCGTGTCGTGCATTTTGCGCCGATCTAGTGTGGTAAGGAGCGTTATTTTGCTCCCAAAACGTATCTAGTTGGTTTTGTTGCGAATGGCGAGGAAACGACTCCTGGACGACTGGGTCCGAATTATACAACTGATGCAGATTTTGTTGGGTTGGTTGGGCTGGTAAGGGGTTCCAGGAAAATCCTAGAGTAATTAGGTCCGTGGAAGGGAGGGACTGTCTATTAAAGGGTTGTTGCAGGGACGCAAAAGCTGCGGAGTTATCTTGAACAGGGCCAAATGCGGGTGTCGATTGGTATCGTGCATCGCGAGACGCAGCAGGTCGATACGGGATGTAGGCACCATCAGGCCAATAGGGTCCATAAGGACCAGCCCCCCCGGAGGCGGTTGGGCCAAGATTAGACTGCAACGAAGAAGCCAATACCGTCGGGATGGGAGGGCCATTTTGCATATAGTACCTCTGTGACGGAAGCAGCGATGCTGTTTGATTTAGCATTGAATCGATGCCAGGCGGACAGTGCAAGGACCGAATCCAACTTGTGCCATTGGTGTTTTGGGACATACCACTCGGAAGGCCGGTGGATCTGGTTCCCTCGTACTTGTAGGTTGGCGGGAAATTCTGAAATTGGGACGCCGGAGGCGGTTCGAGGCTTTTGTATTGCCATGACTCAGTTGGAAGAGCGGAGTGTGGTGATATAGGCTGGCCATTATCCAATGATGAAACCAAAATATGCTTTAACGCTGGACGCTGAATAGATAGATCACCAAGTGTGCCGTCGTATCCAGCCGCCAGCGTTCCGTTGGGCGTTTTCCGCCTCAGCGTGTTCTCTACAGTGTTTCCATTTTGAACCAAAGACGCGGTCGTCAAATCTTGACCATTTGGTCGCTGGATGGGTCGCTGGTATTGGACCCGCTGACGTAGCATCACCGAATGCTGCTGCTGGTCTGGGTATCCATACTGCTGACCCTGGCGGAAAGCCGATCGCAAGGAGTTGCCGGCCAGATCATAGAGAGGATCTAATGGGTCGAAAGGCGGCTGATGGTCCAGATGGTGATGTAGGAAGTGGTGTGACTGCTGTGCCACAGACGGTAACATGGCTCTTGTCTGTGGAAGAAGGGGGAACACTCTCTCGAAGGGTAGAGGAAAAGGAAGAAACGATCGACAAGAGCAACGGACAACAGGGAGCCTGCCCAACTCTTTATCGACAAAACCGTTCTTTTGATCGTTTCAGACACCGCATCATGCCATGGCTAGTCAAACTCAGTAGTGTTAGAAAGGGCACTAAACGCCAATCAAAATAGTCCACATCAATCCATGAAGTTCATTCCCTTACAAAGCACAACGAACGACGGGTAGCTTCCACGGTAGCGGCTGGTTCCAAAATATTGTCCAAAAAGTTTTCGGCTATAGTTGTGTGATGAGGCTGTCTATTGGAATAGATATATTGATTGATTGCCCGGCCTGCTGCGTAGTGCAAAACACGCCAAACCAGCAGCGAGCGACTGAAGGACTATAGTCTCGGATCCGGCGAACCGTAAAACCCACTTCAACTGGTATACGAGCAAGCCGGAAGCGCTGGTTGGGGTCTGGAGTAAATTTTCGACAGATGTCTGGATAATTCGAATTCGGAGCGATGTTCGGAGGATATGTAAGAGCGGAAGTGGACGCAGAGAAGAGTTGTAGTTTAAGTGTAGGAATCCAGGTTACAGGCGTCCTGGAGAAAACAGATAATACCCAGCGAGGCGGAAGAAATTATATTTCTAGGGCCCTTTGGAGATAGACGTCAGATGTGGTTGATGGAAGATGAGAAGCAAATAGAGTAAATAGTGAGTGACGAAGGGCGCGGTCAGAAGAAAAAAAAAGCAAGCTGGAGACGCCAAGGGTGACCAGAGATCATGCAGGCGCACTTTTGGATCGCTGCCTATCAACTCCCCGGTGGGTGTGCTAAAGGGTCAAAGTCATCCACACTCACCTCGAAAAACTACAGAGACATATATATAGAGCGAGGGCGGTGGAGGAGAGAGAGGGACGGAGAGTCTGGTTAAACGCGATATTGGGAAATATGAAGGCTCCCAACGAGGCTAAAGCCGAAGGATCTACGAGGGTGAAACGCAATAATAGCGGTATTCAACGGAGAGACGAGGTCGATGCTAGGTGGAAAACGGATCAACTGGAAATCTAACGGGCAAAGGGCAATCAATAGAAGGGATCGAGGGTGGCTATGGCAGCCGGTGTTAAGAGGAGAAAGATGCGGTGGGGAATGCAGAAGTTGAGGAATAGTGACCGCAGATAGAGTCAGAGAGAGTCAGAGTTAGAGAACCACAGTCGGAGAGACGGATAGAGAGAGGGAAACAGGAGCAGAGAGAACGTGATGATTGACAACGTGGTGGAGAGGATCTTTTGCTGGATGTTGTTGCATGTCTTGGGTGGGTGTGTAGTGGATGTGCGCTGGAGTGGATTGCGGTGGGTTGGGATCCACCGGGGTTTGACAAGAGGCTTGCTTAGCCTGGGTTAGCTCGCGCCTGAACTTTGAAACCAAGCCCCGTCCGACCACCCATATGATTGTCCAACCCACCCAGTGGGCCAGTGGCAACACACCCACAACGCCGCTGGCTATAAGGCCTTGGTCATCTGGAGCCGCCAACAGCCAACTGAAGACCCCTTCACCTGCTCTGCTCTGGCTTTTCTGGTGGACAAACCAAGGTACGCACAACTTGCAGGTCAACACCCGTCGTTTTCCAACCTGCAGACTTGCAGCCAACCAACCCAACGGATGGCCTTTTTGGGGGGGGGGGGGTGCGCTGCCCGCTTATTGGGCTGTAGCCATTGGGCGACAACGGAGGGGGGTCAGCCTTCTGCACAAGGGGTGGGACAGGGAGGCGGCCGCCTCGGCAGGGTTTAGCGGGCTAGTCAAAAGCCCTTGAGCGCTAGGCTGGGGACTGTTACTGGCGGCCCTTTTAGGGCTTGGTTATGGGGCTCCCTGGCTGCGGAGACCCGGTCCCCTTCGAGCCTGCTGGAGCCCAAGCGTCGATTGTTGGCTTGGCCAGCCCCATCGAATGACAACACCGCTCGAGAAAAGCAGTAACTAATAAAAAATATAGATAAAAAAAAAAAAAAAAAAAAAAAAGCAACGTTCTCTACGGAAAACTCAAAACAGACATCTAGGAGATCGCGACATCGCTAACGTTTACCTGCTTGAGACTTGATGAAAGGGGTTTCAAGTTCGAAAATGTTTTGAGCCCTACGTTGTGCCCAATAATGCAATGCACGTATCTGTTTCGAGAGAGGCTGAGCCTGCTGCCCTTCCATGTCATGAATCATCGGAATGAAGTTGTTGACTCGTTGGCCAGCCCAATCCCATTTCAACAGCGAAGAGTCCCCAGGCAACTGATAACCTCTGAGAAACTCGATGAGAACAGGGCAGTTGATTTATCAGGTTTGTTCTACGCAGTAGGTGTTGACCGACGGGCCGCTGGGCAAAACCGTTATTATTGATGAAGAAATTTAAAAATTAAAACGACCAACGGCTCACCAAAATATCTTAGCAAGTGTCTGCGGTCAAGTCTACCATTTACGACTAGATCGGAATAACCCAACCCGTGCATGTTTCGATGTTATGCAGTGGAAGATTCCATGACACTTGTATGGGCTCTCTCTCAGCCATTGTAAAAGTCCATACATCCTCACGGGATTCTAGCCAACTTCCCTAACCAAAACCTAAGATCGATGGGCCCGCGAAGTTGGTACACTCCCGTTTCCCAGGGACGGACGTCGCCCTGGATATGCTGCAGAGGAATGAATCATATATCATATCCAGCTCAACGACTTCCTTCCTGCTATCAGCATCCTCCTCCTTCCCCCAGGGAAAACTGTTGGAATTTTTTGAGTAAAATCCAATGCGGGCGACGGCTCCACAGAGCCTCCCAGAACAAACATGATGCTGATGCCATGACTTCTTCCCCACATAGCTCCCCGAGGATTCGAGAAATCTCGACATTAGACGGATTTTGCAACCACTGCGCTCACGAAATACTTGGCGCACATAGAATCCTATTATTGCTTAGTTGCCAAGTACACCGCGGATTTTAATAACCATCATGTAATTATTAAATCACACTATCTGAAGGACTTGTAAAATAAAATCTCGGTGTATTATAGAGACAGCATGAATATATTTTAATTCAATGCAAATCTTGGCTGTTGAACCATGAGTTGTAGAAGCAGTGCAAGTTAGGTAGTAGTAACTAGTAGTAGTAACCGTGCCAAGCGCAACTTACTACCATTAGTGAGTGCAAACCAGTGTAACTGTAATATCACTGCAACTGTAATTATCATCATTCTTCATCTTCAAGTATTCATTAATCACCGCCATTATATCTAAATCATCTAAATTCACTGAAGCTCAGCTTCAAAACACCATTGACACATTAAAAGTAGATTAAAAACTAAAAATTGCAAAGATGATATGAGAATTTAAAGTTTCATATACAATCTTGATAAAACAAATTAAAGAAAACAAATTAAAAACTATAAGAGCTTCAATCAATTGAACATTGAATAACACTTAGAAGAAAGCTCTTAAGAGATGAATAATACAGTTAAATACTAACATTTATTCTCTTTTTATTAAGTATATCAAAGCTGCTGTGAATTATATAATGATTTTTCATCAGTCTGATTCTGACATCTCTTATTGAACTATGAGTAAGATATAAGTATATAAGTTTATAAATTATCTGTTAGACTATAATAAAGTAAAAGAGAAATTCATAAATTTAAAATAGATATTTAATGAAAATATAAAGTTTACTATTAACTAATTTAATTGCTATAATTCTGATAGCTGAATAATTAATACTGTAAGAGGCCTACACTAAATAGATCAGTATAATATTGATAGATCTTATATAATAAAGAGAAAAACATTAGAGAAGAAAAGAAAGAGAAAGTGTGAGAATCAGCAATTGAAGTGAATATTTATATATGTATGTGATGACATACACAGTAATGCTTCAGAGTGAAAGAATATACACATATTTATAGCAGCTGAGAATCAGCAATCAGAATATACATGTTTGTGATGACTGAGAATCAGTGATTAGAAATGAGACAGTAGAAATCTATGAAGTGTACAGAATAGTCTATATAATTGATTAAGTGCAGTCTGTTATATTAGTTCTCTTCTTTCAGAAGCAGTTCTCATCAGTCAAGAGCTGCTGTTTCAGATGATACAGAACTCAGAGTTCAGATTAGTTGATTATAACTGACTCATTTTATAAGATATTATCAACTATAATCACATGATCTCTCATTGAGAATATTTTCAATCTCTCACTCAAGCTTATTATCTTCTTCTATAATCTCTGACAGCTGTCAGTTGAAAGTTAGTTGAGAAGAGAACAGATCAGTGACAGTACAGTGAAGTAAGCTTATATAAAAGATATTATAAATCTCTGATAATGTGTTAAGACAGTAGTTATAACTATCTAGAACTTCTATCACTTTATACTTAATATAATAATAATCTAGTATATAAGATGAATATATGATTTGTATATTCTTAAAATTCAATTATATTAGATCTTCTATCTTATATTATTTGATAAGATCTCAGTGAACATTGATTTAATTCTCTTAATCTTATTTCACAGTTGCTATAAAGACCTCTGCTTAATTATAAGTATTTCAGAGCTTCATTACTATATTATCAGTGATCTGAATCAGACTGTGAAGATTCAGTGTGAACTGTATAATCTCTAGAAGATTCAACATCTTCATGTGATAACTATATATAAATAAGAATAAGCTTATATCTGTTGAAATAATATCTTGTTCATTGATAGTGATCTCTATATATAGAAGCAGATCATATTAATTATCTTATAAGTAATTACAGAACTTATAAAGATAGTTCTTTACAGTCTGAATTATCTATTCTAATATATCATCAGTCTCAGAGTGATAAATAGTTAACAAATAGTATATAATCTTGAGAACTTGACAGATTCTTATTCAGAGAGTACTCATAAATTAACAACTCTAATCTGATACTATTGATCTCAGTAACTTATATATCTGATAGAATAAACTCTGTAAGAAGACTTCAGTAACTTATTCAGTATTTATCTTATTATAAGATTTTAATATTATATCTTTACTTAGTTAGTTAATAATGATCAGAATATTTCTACAACTCTTACTCTTAGATAGATTAATAGTAAAGTCAATTACTATATCTTATCAGATTCTATCAGAAATATTAAGTAATTTCAGTAGATCTTTTCTACAGTTCTTTCATAAGATAATAGAAGAACAGTAGTTATAGTTTCAGATAAAGTATCTGATACTGTTTAATATCTCAGATTAATAGAACTCTTGAAAGATTATTCTATACAGTTGTTCACAGTCTGAATAATCAGTTCTATACAAATTATACATCTCTTGTATTATTCAGATGTGTAAGAGTTCAGAGTAAGAGACTCAGTGTTATTTATGAAATTATAGAGTATTATTATCATTGATTGAATATTTTGAGATGTCAGTTCTTATACATAATTCTGAGAAAAATCAGAATGCTTCTTGTTATACTACTTTAGTAAGTGTTTGAAGAAGTTCATCAGTTTAAGCTGCTGTATATCATAGCTTATCTAATATAGGTTTAAGAGAAGTTGAGATATTAGTGACAGTTCTAATCAGAGAAGTATGTATAGTGCTGTAAGCTGTTTCATCTTGATCAACTAGTATCTTCAGATTCAAGAGCTGATACTCTCAGTTCATTCAGTGAGTATCTGTTACATCAGATGACATATCTTGCTCTTATCATGAGAAAGCATCTGTCATTGAGTTCTGACTGTCAGAACAGTAGTGTATTGTAAAATGAAAGTAACTTAAGAACTCAGACCATTATATCTATTATTCAGTGAGTTTATGAGTAGTTGTGAAGTATTTGAGATTCTTATAATCTGTTATTGTAGTACAGAATAACTTTTCTAAGACCTTTTTGATATCAGCCAGACTGGCAAAATAGATTGACACATGATTCTGCTGTTAATGAACTTGTCAGTGACTCTGTCAGTGATTTTGATGATGACTTCTTTTTCAGAGTATTTCATAAGTGTTGGCAGAGATCTGTGTAAGGTTCATAGTCTTGTGAATATCATCTTCATGAATTCTATTATCATTAGAGAATATCAAGCTTCTGTTTCAAGTATTTAGTAAGATATCTTGTTCAGATAGCTAGATAAGTTCTAATATAAAATTATAATCAAGATTATCAACTTCATATGCATAGACATCTTCATATTAATATTCTCTCATATCTATGTTTAGTTTCATCATGTAATGAGTACAAACATCTTTCAGATTATCAAATTCTGTGAGAAGTGAAGATTTTGATAAAGAGATATACTGAAGATTATAACATCTTATAACTGAAGATTTTATCATTACATAGTGACATAGATCACTGTCTATCATAGCTTTTATATTATACATATTATCAATCACAGTAGATATAAGAATTGTATTCATTGTCATTTTCTCTTCAAATTATTATCATTCAATCTCTTCAAGCTTCTGTTTGTGAATTTGAACAGAAGCTAATCTTTTCTCTGTTCACTGAGACATTCTTATAGTTATCTTCTGAATCTTTCTTCACTGCAATATGGTTGATGCGGACAGACACTGATTCATTCTTCAAGCAAGAAGACATGTAGATTGATTAACAGTTGAAAGTAATATATTCTGATCAGTTACAGTTAATATATACTTTATATTAATATTGATCAGTGACTTCTTTGAGAGTGATCTCAGAGACTCAGAAGCCTGTTTGAACAGTGAAAACTCTTGCTTATGTATAGATATTTGAATCTATTCAGTTTATAATATCTGCATCATTGCTATTCTTCAGCACAGATGTATAAGTCACTGAGATGTAATATCTTCTATTACTGTTCTGTATACTCTTGAGCTTGATAAGACAGTCATTCAATATTCAGAGCTGTATGCAGAAGTCTTTATAAGTCTGATCTTTATCTACACTTATAAGAGTCTGTAAGAGTTTGAAAGTTAATATCTTCTTGAGTATGCTAATCTTCATTCACTTCTTTCAAAATTGATCACCTGCTTCTAGAATCCTGATGTTAAAGTCAGAGATAAATATTATAAGAGAAGTGTTTCTCTATTAAACACTCTGTAATCAATCTAATACTTTCTATTGTATGACAGTGTCTTAGAACAGAATATCAAGATATTTCATAATATTATCAGATATTCATAACACTGATTCACATGCTTTTATTCATGAATAAAACTTCTGTTTCATATGATTCTTCAATTATTCATTAATATATCAATCTTGATTAATTAATAAATTGATGACATCTTCATCTATACTTAGTTTCACAAGCATTTTCCTTCTTTATGATGAGTAGAGAGTGAGATTGAAAGTATTAAAATATGTAGAAGCATCTAAGCATTCTTTCAGTGCTTTTCTATTTAATTCTATAGATGTTGAAATTGCATGAGTTAATTATTAAATCTCTTTGTATTAAAGTTATTAAGTTGCATGCATATCAGCTATTTATTACTGTTGTAATTTCAACATTGCTCAGAGTCACTGTGATATCACTTCTATGTTTGTATTCAAGAGTTCTCTTATATTGTCATTAGATATGTTATTCATTGAGTGTATAATATCTGTGAAATCTTGAAGAAGTGTAATTGTATTCTCATACATCTGAGTATCAGAACTCTCAGGTCTTTCACTGACATTCTCTTGTAAAATCTTACTCTCTTTGTAAGATCTTGTTACAGAGTCAGAGTGACTGATAAGCAAGCTTCTATCTGAGAACTCAGTATTCACTTAACTGTTTAACTGTTTCTCTATTTCTTATGTATTGTTACATGTTTGAATATCTCTTGATAAGTAATCATTTCTAATAAGAAGATAATGCATAAATAATTATTTCTAATAAGAAGATGATGAACATTTTTCTAATATAAGAGGTCTACACTGAATAGATTAATATAATATTGATAGGTCTTATATAACAAAGAGAAAAATATTAGAGAAGGAAAGAAAGAGAAAGTGTGAGAATCAGTGATCAAAGTGAATATTTATATGTGTATGTAATGATGTATGTGATGGTGCTTTGAGATGAAAGAATATACACATGTTCATAGCAGTCAAGAATCAGTGATCAGA